TGACCATGAGCACAGTGAAGTTCGCTTCCGTGCAATGCACGCAGACTGTGTCATGTACTGGCTGGCTTTGCAGGAGCTCTCATTGATTGGGTGCGAGAAAGACATTGTCATTGGAGATGAAATCTCAGAGGCTGCGCTCCGCAAGTATGATGACTATGTGCACAAGGTTGCTTTCCCACCCAAAAAGAGGGCATCAGTGACTGAACTTGTCGGAGATGGTCACTCGAAGGTCCACATCAAATGTGGCGAAACTACCACACATGCAGGACGACCTCGGAAAGACGGTTCTTTGAAACCCTTTGGGCATGGATGGTTCATGCTAGTCAACCCGCAGGATCAACGAATTCTTTGTGTGGTTGCCATGGACAAGCCGGAGAACAACCCAGTGGTCCAGAAGTCGTTGGAGAAAGTCTTGCCTCTGTACCAGAAAGTCAATGGATTCATCATGGACCGTGTCTGTGGTTTCGCACCGACTCATGCAAGTAAGAAGTCCCTCTCCCAAATCAAATATTGGAGCCTTGACAAGTTCCACGCCCACAGGCACAAGAAGACTTGCGTGTACAATCCACTCTATGTCAAGCGTTTGTCTCGGCGATTTGCGAAGACAAATACGTCGGCTTGCGAACAAGTTTTCTCTTGGTTTCGCAATTATGCACGGATTTTGAATGAGGCACGTGCAATTCGCCACACTTTTAAGGTGCTGTACTTTTCCAAATTGCACAACCAAGCTGTGGCTGAAAACAAGGCCAGCTACTTGAACAAGTTCAAGAAAGCTGTGTCTAAGGTAAGCAAAGCATATGCTTGCTAGAACTAGATTTTGGAACAGAACTAGCGCGGAAAAATGAGATGTCTTAGCGCCAACTCCTTGCTTGCATTGTCTGCAGCAGATGATTTGACTGTGGTAGTATCCTTATGCATTCTTCCAAAAATCATCTTCTTTACTGTCATGCTGGCTCTGACAAAAGAAAGTAGAAACACATCTTGCAACTGCATCATCTGCTTCCAATCATCTGGAAATGCCTCACATCTGTACATTAACAAACAATAAGCTAGAAATCATTAAAAAACCTATGAATTAAAAACCCACCCCCCAGCGCAATCCGCTCTCTTAAAAAAACACACACATGTTACTCATGAGAGAAAGGCAGAAAGGCAAGGAGTGTTGTTGAATCTGGAGCTGACAAGACTGTTCATTGGACATCTCCAGGAAGAAGGAAAACATGCAACAATTATCAGCATTTCAGGGATGAGGTATTTTGTGATATGCAGCTCTTCCGATCTTTCTGTTTTGGTCTCAGCATCGACGCGTTTTTTCACGGTTTCTCCGACTGCATCCTCTGGTTTCTCCCGGACAAGCAACACATCGAGGCCGCCACGCGCACTTTGTCTCGAGCAAGAAGCAGGAATGGGAGTTCGTCCAATCAGAATCGAAAGGTTCGAAAGAAGAAGTATGTAGCCAAGGCAGACAAACCTAGAATCCAGTGAATCCACTCAATCCTGTGAATCCACCTTGTTTTTCAGGACCTTGGGCCATATGTGGCCATATTTCAGATAGCTAAACCAGGAGTCACTCCGGCTCTAGATTCTAGATATGGATGGGGATCAAGCATGAATACCAATAGACTCAGTGATGGCAGTCGATCCTTTTTGTTCAATGGGTTTGGCAGGGTTTTGATCGTACCCTATTCTTGAGCTATGGTTTTTTGATGACATTGCACCGACGAGACTTGTTAAAGGGACAATAAAGGAATTTGGTGTTTGTTTTGTGTATTTTCTAGGGGCAGTGTGGCGAGCTACAGAACTGTTTGCCCAATAGCGGCCATGAATGAAAGCCGGAAAGAATACATGACACATTCGCAGGAAAGACTCCTTCGGTTTGCAAACTGGGCTTTGTGTTTTCTTTGCGACTCTGTGAGCAGCATGATAGGACGATAGGTGCTCATTGGGAGCTTGTCTACTCCGCAGTGCATTCTGGGCACAGGCATCCATGCAAGACTCCCGGACAAAGAGTGCTTCTCAAGAGATTGCTTGAACCAGAAGTTCCTCCAGTGGTGTGCTACCTCTCGACACTCTTCCTCTTGAAAAGAGGAGCATGGTCCAGGAGTTGGAAGATCCATCGACAGATCGGAATCACGAAAGGTAGCTTGAGCTACCTGAGTTCCCCTTGCTTTAGCAAAAATGTATTACAATCAGGAGTTGGGATTGTGCATTGAATTTGGTCCTGTAAGAGTTGATTCTGTTCGTCGGGGGGGGGGCCCCCTGGATCAAATCCCCCCTGCGCCGGTTCACGCAGTCATGGACTTCTACCAGGGTTACTTGTGATTGCCTGCTACCTTTCGCTCACCCCCTCCTCTCTCAAGTTTGGGCGACAGGAATATAGTCGGAGATTCCATAGCAAAACGTCGGCTTGATGCGGTTCTATCCATGTCCAGAGTCACTTTGCCTCATGCGGCATAGAAAAGAATCAGGAGTGTTGGCCTGCCTTCTGAAGAGGCTGCGCAGGTGGGATCCATCGTGAGAGCAGTACAGATGGTCAGCAAGTTTATGTCGATCAATGTTAATCTTCTGGGACATGTTTGGAACATCCTTGGATATTTGGTTTGGGAACTGGTGAAAATTTCAAGTACCACCGCTTCCCGAATCAAGAAACAGTAGGCTCTCCTGGTCGTTTCTCTTACATTCTATTGAACATTCCTGCCACTCCTTCCAAAGAGAGTATCCCAGGCGAACACGGGCAACAAATCAGATCCTTCTTCTTTAGCAACACTCACGTTAGAAGCTTCAAGCATCCATCCATGATCGGACCATCTGATGAAGTTGCGCACGTTGCGCACCTTCTTCCTTCGAACGAACCGCCCGAGAGCCACCGCGGCCTGGCCGAACGGCGGGTGCCCGGGCGTAAAAACGGCCCGGCCGTTCCACCCACGGCCAGACGGTGGAGAAGAAGCGCCGGAAGACCATGCGGTTGCATCAGAAGAAGGGCCACAAGGGCGAGGCCCGTGCGACCTTCGGACCTCTCCCTCCGTCGTGTCTCTTGAAAAGGGGACGTGAAGAGGAACTGCAAGTGGCGTATACTGGAGTGTCGGCGCCCTGCGTATTTTGGGTTTGCAGAGGAGCTGCAGCAAGTGTTGACAGGAGTAGTAAGATACAGTTGTATGATGCCATGATTCAGTTTGTGATATTGTTTACATATATATACATATTATATGATATATATATATATATGTGTGCTAATAGTCTTAAACAATCAGTCAGCTCAGTGAAGTGGGGTTTCGTCAAGTTCTGACCCTATCGCTCCAGGCCGACAGATGGATCCCGGATCTGAAGCCCAAGCACTTGTACTCGGGCCACTGGGCAGGAAAAAGATGCGAAGCGACACTTCTGGCCCGAAAACACTCTGATGGCCTGGACTCAGAGCAAACTAAGATATAAATCGTTACATTTAGTCATGTAGAACTATTGTTTTAAATGTATTAATATATATATTAATATATTATATAGCTAGCAAGTACGGGTTTGCAGGTCTCAATGGTTGAGTGCAATGGATGTAGAGGTCGTTCTTTTCTCAGCAGCTGAATGGATTGTTGGGCGGTGAAATGGTCCAACAACCGTGGTTCTCCAAGGCAAACGGGGCATCGGCAAGACGGACCGGCGGTGAGCCCAAACGGGCGCCGTGGAGGACAACAACCCTTTGAAACGAGGTGGGGAGCGAGCCGGTGGAGAGAAGGAGTGGGGGTGTGCTATGGTGTGCTTGATGAGGACATCTGGAGAAAAAAACAGTCCAATCTGGGGTTGAAGGAGTTCCATATAGTTGAAGGAGTTCAGTTGAGTTCGGAGAACCACATCTCGTTTGTGTTTGAAGCGACTGTTTTGATACTTCAAGTCCTAGCCAGCTGACCCATCAACCATCATCAACCTTCTTGTGCGGAGGCCCTCGGACGATAAGCCGCTCCAGACTGGAACGCGTTGGTGCAGAACAGCAGTCTTTGATCAGACAACACACAGGCAGCATGCTATCAATCGCATGGTGTGTACAGTAATTAGCATGTAGTATGCTTTACTCATGCCAGATCTAGACGTTATTTTTTTGCCAGCAGCGTATTCCTTAGCTGACACAACCACGAAGCTGCTGCTTCTTGACTGCCAAAGTATTCCTTATCAGGGTGCGCGTCTGAGGAAAAGTGCCACCAGACCAAATGACAGTTGCAGTGGTTTTGCTGGACAAGGGTAGAGTTGGCAAATGACTTTCCTCAGGTTGCAAGGACTTTGCATATAATAGTTTCTATATGCATTGGTTTTAGCATGTGTTGGCATCTGAATGCCACATCCTGCTTCTCTTGGATTGATTGTTTTTCTTTGTCTTGGTTTTGCGTGGTGCAAGGTCCCCCTCACTCACAGATGTCTTGGGGATTGCGCTGCTTGAAACCTTTGTCCAACAATCAGAAGGGGATCCGGACTACTGATTGATCCCAAAATGACCAAAGCTTTGCTCATATTTGTTCCTTGAAACAATCGCAAACTTCAATTGTTTCAGAATATCAGTCTTCAAACGATGACCGCCGCCCGCGATTCTGAGTCTGCGAAATTGCGACAAGAGTTGACCAACGGAGAGAAGAAAGAACACAATCACGAACTTGGTATTGGTTTGTAGAGGAACTTTGCAAATGCAAAGCCAAAGTCCTGTACATCCTACAGGAAAGACAAGTCTTCTTTCAGGATTCGACGGGGGGTCCCTTGCTGTTTGTGGCCGCGATCACGATCCCCTGAGCTTAGACTCTTTCATCTACACGATTCGACACGTGTCAGTCGTTTTGAACTCCAACTGTTTTTTGTTTAGACAAGTAACAAGTGCATCGCAACTAGTAACTGCTAGTCACAAGAAGAAGCTAGTAACCATATTACAGAGTATGTCGTAACAACTGCTGGACACGTTTCAGGGTCCGAAGCTGGTTGACCACTAGACGCAGACAGACGAACAGGTCCATTTAAAGCAGTGGAATGAGCCAAGATCCAGACCTGGACCTCTCCTGGAGTGGCTCCGCTCGCACCGATGGATGCATGGCTTTCCACCTTGCAATCTGCCACGTCGCTCGGACGTGCTCTCTGCGGAAGCCCCGCGGCACGCGTGGCGAAGACGTGCTGCCAGAAGTCCTGGTTTCGGAAACAGAGCGCTCTCTCATTTGATAGATTCTTCAAGAAACAAGACTCGCTTTGAGCAACCCATAGCATAGGTAATGGGATGTACAGTAATTAGGTCGACACGTGGCTAACATCACCAGCAGCTGCGCCAAGTCAACATCAGTCTGGAATGTGTTGGAGGTGACAATGAATCACCAGCTATCAAAGAAGGAACACGCAGTTTTCCTCCCTTGTCAAAATGACAAACATGCAAACATCTACCAAAACATCAAAGCATAGAAGATTTGTTGGCAGGAAACCAAATTGTAAAGAGCATTTAACAGAAGATGTTTGCCTTCGCTAGGGCTTCCGATGCTGCCTCCCCGAGGGCCAATGATGCAGCAACCACCAAAAACTACGGCCACTGCGGAAATGGTCCAAGCGAGGCGATGGAGGTCGGCAGCACAGCGTTTGGTCGTCCGCTCTGACGAACACATGGTAGCCAGGTAGACGGAGAGTTTCATGGTCTTTCCAGGGTCCATGCCATTCACTTCCAAGATCGCAAGACTTCCAGGGATTCAGGCAGATTCGCAAGGTTTTTTATATGGAATCTGAAGTGGTGGACTCAGCTGAGCAGCCAGGTCGGTTGGTTAGTTACTCGGTAGATGTTGGGATTTTGGCTTAGCACTCTTCTGGGCAATAAAATGTTGCCAGAGAAAGTTTCAGAGTCAATATAATTATATAATGTATAGCTTGGCTTCGTGTCTTGTCTTGATTCGCTTTTGGGTGGATCCGTTCTGGTGTATTTTATCAATCCAGGATCCACAATCTCGCAATTCACCCTTCAGATCCCGGTGCCGTATAAAAGAATAGTAAATCCATCCCCCAACAACACAAACTCCGAAAAGAGAACACACACACAACGTATATATATATATTGAAACATCATGAAACTGTATGAACCATATATCATTTCGTTAAAAAAAGATAAGAAAGAACACATATAATATACAAACCACTAAAGCCAAACAGACCAAGCATCTTACGCTTCCAACTGCCCCCCTTTTGCTTCCAGCACGTGCACGCCACGTTCCGCTTCCTCCGGCCGCCCGTTTCCTCGGGCGCCTCGTGGAACCATGAGAAAACCGACCCTGTCAGGCGGCGCGGTCGGCGCTGGAGGAGTTGACCTCCATGGGCTTCGAGGCCTGTGAGGCCACGGAAGCGCTGGAGACCTGTACCTTGGTCGGAACCGGTGGTTGCTCAGAGAGAGCAGAGGGGAGAGATGACATATATCATCATATATGTTGTCACGATCATATTAGACCTAATATCATATATATATATATTATCATGCATATTATGTAATCATATCCCTCATCCCAGGAAAATGCACGCAGGAAGGGACGTAGGTAAAATGCATGCATGCAGTGTATTTTTTCACATGTGTTATACCTAATTAATGCCCTCCCTGAACCAATGATGGAAGTGGAACACCAGCTCGTAAGGGATTCGAAACCACAAATCAGTGTTGTTGAAGTTGGCCGGCTTGTTGTCCCGACCACTTGATCATCTCCGGTGTCATGTTTTAAACAGGACAAGAGCAACTTAGCACAAAACCAACAAGAAGGACATTGGATGACCACCACTTCCTGCCAGGACTACCAAGAACGACAAAGGCAACTTGGTTCATCAAGCACGACAAAACAAGAAGGACAACATTGGACGACCACTGCTTCCTGGTGGCCAGGTTATACTGGCGGCCAGGATTAGTTTTATATCAAAGACGACAAGGTCTGTCAGTTTTCAATACGCAACCAGCAAGAAGGACAACATGGAAGACCTCTTGGCAGCCACAGCCGCGCCAGTGCTCTTCTAAAAGTTATTCGTCGAATGAACCGCGTCTCCAACTGAGCCGTCGCACTTTGATTTGTCCTCATGGCTCAAATGGCAGCAGCGTGGAAGAGGAGGAAAACGCCCGCACGCACTGACAACGACATTGATCGCAGCATTGGTGACTTGAGCAGCTCTTGGACATTGGAGGATCATGCAGTTCATGGCATGCGGTACTTGGTGATTGGCCATTTTTTGGTGGAACCTATATATTACCTGTATCAGGTACTATAGGTAAATTAAGGTATGGAACTTACAAGACCATTGCTTTTAGCGGGACGAAGAGGGTTCTCTAGGTTTACATCATGCAGGATAGGCGTGAAACAGGTCTGAACTTGGTCTAAATGAGGAACTGGGCGGTTTCCCACAGCAACTAAATCCTTGGTCGCGAGGCAGGAGTGGCCAGTATGAGCAAAATAAGGAAGTCCTGGACTTGCAGTATGTGAGAGCTAGGTTTTAGCTGCTGCGGCTGGTCCTGTACCTGAGCAGACATAGAGGTGGAAGCCTGTTTTTCCTGTCAATCTACGGGACGGAGAGGGTTTTCTATTAGATTTTCACTGTTCGCACCCGGCCCAAAGGAGCAGGTCTTGACTCCTCTACAAAGAGAGAGAGAGAGGGGGAGCGAAAGAGGAGTTTATGTAGAGTGCGTTTATACAAAGAGAGAGACGGAGAGACAGAGAGAGGGAGCGAAAGAGGGAGAGTCACGGAGCGCAGGGCATGGGCCAGTTTATACTGCGTTAATACTCCTTTGGCCCTGCCCTTTTCACACTTGAATAAATAACCTTTTCATGGTTTGGGGTGAGAAGGGGTTGGTCCGGTCTGAAACTGGTGTTGAGATCGCTGAGCGGGTTCCTCCGCGCCAACTGCGCAGGTGCCGAAGAAGTCCTGGTGGAGCCTGTCGCTGGCGACGTTCCCCACAGGCTTGAACTCGACGGTCGGTGTGGTGGGGATGGTAATACGGGCAAATTTTCAGATTCTAGCGCACAGACTGTAAACTGTCGATGACCTTCCGTTTGCCTTTTTCAGCATCAAGTATGGGAAAATTGCTACCAACATGTCTCACCGAACACGTAAATACTGCACCCTCGATCGAAGTCAGTGGACCTTTACAAGAAGGACCTCTGCAGAGAGGACCCTTAGTTGGCCGAAAGCCGAGAAATCATAGCAGTTGCCAAGGTTCGCGACCCGAGGAACTACAGATTGTGATACTTCCAAAATCTTCCACGTTCCACGTCATCATATACATGATCGGTTGGACTGTCAGGGTACCTGAATCATCCCAACGACCATTCATAACCAACCTATAACCATCATCATCCATTTGTAGTCAAAGTACTAGTGCTCCCGATCATTGAATCATGGAGAGGAAGGTCGCAAATCTCCTGCGGAAGGACAAGGTGCGGTTGAAGGAGTTGCCGCCTCAGATTGTTGGGGCGATTCTCCTGCGTGGCTTGCGTGATGCGCGCTACGAGAAAGCAAGTCTGGACTCTGAGAACTGGAGCAGTGGCAGAGCTGCGCGTTCTTGGGAAGGTCTGTTGACGCAGCGTGGGGTTGAGCTGGCAATTCTGGACGAGGGCTCTGAAGTTGTTTGGAAGCATCTGGTTGAAGGAGAAGATCAACTGGGAGCTCACGGACCTAGGAATTAGGAACGCTATTGATGTTGCAGGTTCTGTCGAAGGTTGCTGTTGAGAAAGGTTCACGGCGGGAAGCCACGATTGTGCTGAGCCGCTTCTCCTCCACAACCTTTACTCAAGGCGTCCTCGAGCAACTTCAGGGCGATCGAGCCTTGCTGGGGGAGTTCAGAAAGGCATGCGCAACCCTCATGAACTCTTCACACAGAACTTCAACATGGCCGAGTTCAACAAGGTCAAATGCAAGCCGGTTGAGGGACAAAAGGCGTATTTCCTGCAAGTTTTTCGGCTCTGTCAGTGGGCCTCAAAGAAGGTCGGGCGGGTTAAGCAGGGCTCTAAGCAGGCCAAGGTTTTGAGCGGTTGTTTCGGACGCAGCTGCAGAGCCCGCCAGCAGCCAGTTTCAGGTGCCTGGTGTGAACGGTTGAGTGTCGTACGGTTTGACTGAGACGGGAAAGAGGTATAGTGTGTTTGCTTGGGACCAAAGGATGAACTTATATTGCGTTTAGACCACGATTAAACTTACTTTGTGGCCCCTCCACCACCTGTTCGAAAGCAGCAACACGCCGAACAGTTCTCCCACTTTTTGGGAGATTTTACTCTTCCTCCTTTATCCTTTTATTTTCCCTCTGCTTCAAGGATGGAGGCAGACGACCTATAATTATACGTTCGTATAAAATGCTGGTACTTGTAGACTAATTATGCTTATTACATAATCAACATATACTCTTGCTCGATTCATATATTTCGACTTGCGGGGATTTTCGATGCAGACTTGAGAGACAAAGGACTGCACTGTGGCTAGTGTCACGGCGACGTTTAGCTCAACAACATCGCTGGCAAGCAGACGTTTTTTCTTCTGGACATTTTCTTGTGCTACCCTCTTCCTTGCGTGTAATGGACCTTGGTGCATCGAACGGCAACTTTCCAATGAGCCGACGAGCTATTGTATACATGAACGTGAAGAGAAGCTTACTAAATGTAGACTCTGACGATCCACTTCACCCTTCACGCTTTAGATGATTGTTTTTCCAACACCTGCAGCGAGAAGGGGCTTACCTTGGCAACAAATTTGCCCCCAGATCCTTTACAGATGGTATGATTAACCCTCACCCCCCACACAACTTACGAAACCATCACCACACTTCTCCAACCACACCTACACTACCCCGTCACATGGCGCGACACCAGCAGCTCTGCCTGCATGGTGATCCGCCTCATGGAGTCTTACCTCGCCGGCTCCACCCTCAGCAAGGCGCGCGCCACCGAGCACCGGCCACCACGCCTCTGCGCCCTGCTTGCCACCGCGCGCTCCGCTACCACGGCTGCCGGTATACCACTCCCGGCCTCTACTGCGCAGCACTTGGTCTGGCAAACCCTACCAATCCGCGCCGACAGGCCATCCACGATGCTACCACCACGTGCTCCTTGACTGCACCCAGCTCGTCGTCGCCGCGCCGGTCGATACGTCTCCGCTTCCCTGTAATTCCCACCCCCGACACCGCCGCCGTTCGCTTGTCGCAGGCCTTCAACGCCTCTATGTTCTGGCCCCCCCGAAGCGCTTCGGGCACATCTTCACCGAGCTCCAGGACTATGACGCGGACGACCACTACCTCCTCACCACCCGCAAGCCCCGCACACCGCCCCCACATTCACCACCCTCTACCGCCTCTCCGCTCTCGCTCGCTGCGACCACGCAGGTGAATTGTCTCCACCGACATCGTGCCGTCCTCAGACCGATGCCCCACCTCGCCGTCCTGATACCCGCTTTCTTGTGTGCATTTTGTGTATTCTAGACCAGCAGCTTGTAAGGTGTACACGTGCAATATATATATATATATACTGTATGTACAGAGACATATTAAGTGCACACATGTTATAAAGAGAGAGAGAGAGAGGAGAAACATATATGGGAGAGTGGGCGTGGTTGGTCGGGTTGCTGGTTCTTTCTCGATGTGATGGAATTGATTGTAGTCGGGTGGAACGTCGGAGGTTGGGAGTGAAGGGTTAGAAGACTTGCATGGCCCGAGTTTTGACCAGAATTCCACTGACAATTCTTTTGTTTGTTCACATACACCCCTCAAGTGATTTTTGCATTTTGCCCGGTGGTTTTTCGACAAGAACTTGCCGTCTTTTTCTGAGACGTTTTGGTTTGAATGTGCACTGTTTGGGATGAACATGACGCGGAGATACGAGAACAAAAACCAGCCTTCAAAGGGGAATGTCCGAGTAGACACTCATGCACTAGGCCCGAGTGACAGCCAGTCTATATATTGCCCGATGCACACCACGGAAGACCGCACTGTGGTCATGATTTGGGTGTATGTCCAATAAGAGACAATACAGGACCATTCTTGCAATAGAAACAGCTAGTTATCATCAGCCGGTGGAATTCTTACAGCAATCATGTCAAGGTTGAGTAAAAACCAAGACGCTGATATATAGAGACTTCAGAAAGAGAAAATTCATGCGCAGTGGGTGAGTGATGTACCTTTCGATTTCCACCAATCACCTGTTGGGTGCAGTGTTGATACATCCTGTTTCCACGATATCGCCAACAACAATTTGTGTGGTGGCGTTCATGTTTCCCAATCGATACGATGAACAACATCAAACATAAATAGATTTATCCACTGGTTGCAAGACCTTAAAGTCATTACTTGTAAGCAGTCCTGTATGCCTCGATTTCATGGGGTAGATGAACGGATATGAACGGAGATTAATTTATAACAATACAGAACAACATCAAACATACTAAGTAGTTTGGATGTAACGTACAGTTTGTTTTAAATAGAGTTCAAAGTGTCTTGATGTGAGTGATTTCAATCACTTTGTTTTAGGCCGAGAGAACATAAAATTATAGTGAACATTTCGATGACAAAACTCAGAGGGTAGGGACTGACCCTCCAAAGCCACTAAAGGTAATCACAGGATGTTTGCCAAACAGAAGATGTCCTATGCATGGCCGTGCAGACATGATCAGTGATGTACAGTAGATCAGGTCATTGGTTGCCTCCACAAAACAAATATAGTATGCAGCGTTAAAAAAAACAACAGCACTTAGGAGCTCCTACGAACAACAGCACTTGGGTTCTTGCTCCTACTTCCACTTAGGAGCTCCTATTCAGATTGTTGGCGGTTCTTGCATTTTGGGGCACCCCAAGGCCAGGATGATCTCGTGGAAGTGCGGCGACCTAACATCGAAGCGTGTCCTACGATGGTACGTGTCTAATAGACACGTACTCTCGGACCGGTCTGAGAGTTTGTTTGACCCAACTCACGGAAAACCAACTGTTGATTGGCCTTCAGCTGCAACATGGCAACGATGTCCTTTCCAAAGTGGACAATTGATTGATGATTGCTTTCCAAGGGTAGAGAACAGAGGTAGAGCACACCTGGACTGGAAGAGCGTCATTTTAGTACGTATTTGGTGGCATTATGTGGCAATACTTCTTTTTGGTCGTTCTCACCTTGGAAGAGGCAGACGTGTTCTCACCTTTGAAGATCGTAGAATGAGTGCTTGCTTGTTTTTTTTCCAAGAGGCTCCCTATATACAAAAACGTACCATGGCAGAAAAAGAACAGACATCCTTTTACAATATATGCATCCTTTTGCAATATAGTGTAATCTCGATCCCAGAAGGTTTTGGTGCGTTTGCCACCTCGGAAGACAAAACTCAATGTAGAGGCAAAATGCCACCTCAGAGGTGGTAGCGGACATAGATCCCCCAAAAGCTGTCCCCTTGAAGTTGAGAACAGTATGTCAATGCTCCTGTCCCAGCTCCCTGCAGCACCCCCACAGGTCGAATCCACCTTTAGTTACCTTCCCCGCACTTGTACTGCCATGCTTTGTGCTGTTTGTGCACCACAACCTTTGGCCCCTCAAGAGTTTATCTAACCACATTCCGCGAACGCAGCGCGGCGAATTCTGGCGCTGCGATCGCTTCGGTACGTGGCTCGATGAACCATGTTTTTCGATCGCAGTCGACCTGTGCATCGCTACTAGTAGCAAGAAGCTACTAGTAACACCTAGTAACAAGGGCGTCGCTACTAGTATCAAGGGCATTGCGGCATTACTACTATAGTAACAAGTGCATCGCTAGTAGGAACAGGTGCATCGCTACTAGTAGCAAGATTGGTGCTCAGGCCTTGGCTTTCCTGTCGCAGCGCCACAAGAAGCGACGGGTGGAGGGAGGCCGCAAGAATCGGGAACAGGACCACTGGGAGGTGACCGGTAGTTAGTGGCTGTTGATTCAGTGGCTTGAGTACATGGACAGTGGGGTCATTTTGGGTCAGTGACCCCAGCAGGAAAGCTTGAGTCGCGGACGAGTAACTGGTGCGGGCGTAGGATTTGGGCAATGGCCACACTAAGGTTTAGAATGCTTTTATATTTCCTTTGGCAGGGAACCTGTTCCTCGGAATTGTCGGCTCTCGAAGAAAAGACTTATAAACAACATTTGGCGAAGGAGTTCACCAAACGACGAATCTCCAGCCTATACCTGGCGAGGAATCAGTGTACTAAGATTGACCATGCTCTCTTTCGGTGTCACCGGAAGGTCGATGTCCAAGTCACCTGGTGGAGGGTGAAGGTGTCCTGTCACATCGGAATTGTAAAAAAAGAGTTCAAAGTGTCCTGAAAAAAAGAGGATTTGAAACTTTTGGACCTTGTTGGTCATTTCTGATTTTGGACCTTGTTGGTACGAGTCCCCTTTCTTTCTCTCCTACAGCCTGCAATATGTGTGTTCATGATCCCACTTGGATGGGTACCTTGAGGCTACTCGAAATGGCACCGCTGTCAGACCAGGCCAGAAGCCTGCCTTGGAAACCTTGGAGGTTGAGGGCATCAAGTGCAGTGTGACGGCAGAGGGCGAGCTGGTGATGCTTCTCGACCGGGTCGCTTTTTTTCGCACTGCATGAATTGACCGGAGCACGTTGCGTCGATTCGATTCAACAGACGGTTCAATCGGATAAACACATGAAATCGACGGAACAAGGGCCATCGTAACAAGGGTAACGCGCACGCGTGTGGTGACCACCTGGCGCCGTGTAGTGACCACCTTCTTCCATGAATTTGGATCTATGATCCACATTTTGGTGATCAATCTGAACTGTAAGTCAGTAACCCATCCAATCTCATGCTGAATGGGAGTCAATGATTGCTGGAGTTTCTTACCATCATGAATCATGCCTCGTGACCCCCCACCATCAGGCCACCATCGACGCTACTCCGCGTTACTCCGCGGCTACTCTCGTCAGGCTTCTGCCGGGCGACGAGCTCCGTGGTGGGCCTGTGATCGGGCACCGGAAGGCGGACGGGAGTTTGCTCTTTGAAGGAATGGACGACTGGCTGTGGGAGCTCTATGAAGGACATCGGCCACGTGAAGAGCTGGAAGGTGCGAGTTGGGCAGCGAAGGTGAGGGCTGGCGGGGGGGACACAAAGTGAAATGGATGGGAGAGTGAAACACCTTTCAAATCTTTGTTGAACTGAGCAACATCCACATACAAAAGGCTTTGGATATACACAAACCTTTGTGTGGGAAGAACTTTTGCATGACAAGTCGTGAGGGGACCCTGTGACAGCGATCTGGTGAACAACCAAACGCCGTGCCCTCGCGAGGTGCGCCTCGATCGTTTGATTCGGGTCTTGTTGTTGCTTTTGTGTGCGTTTCTTGCTTTACGTGAGGCGATGCCTAATCGCTGCCCGGCGGTGGTCAGCATGTTGTCTGGGGCTCCTATCCGTCTCCTATTTCGGGGGCGTGCCAGGCTGATGTTTTGGCACCCAACCCTGAAATTGCTTAAGGTGCTTCCGTTTGTCCCTACAGACATCCCATTCAATCTTATCCACCAGTGTGATGTGTTCATTTTGTCCAGGGGTGCCCGAATCAAATCTAACCATTGATGGTACAGCCTAGAAAACCTGGACCATCCTGGACCTGTCTTCACTCTATAGCAGAGAACAAAAGTTTGTGTTTCAATTGGAAGGGCTTCATCATCCACGCGGTTGTAAGGTGAAGGCCGGCCCTGACTTGTCTCCAGAAGGTTGAAGAATTGCTGCGTAGACGTTCTATAACTGTGTATTTCGGCTCTTCTCACAGACTATCCCTGGCCATTGTGAACTTTGACTCCAGTTCGACCGTCCTTTAAATAAATATCTGGAGGAAGGTTAAAACATCTTCCCAAACATCAATTCGACATTACTATGGGATGCTTTGACAACCTATGGCTTCCTAGTGGCACCGACAGATCTCGCTGCACCTGAACCGAAGGCGATCTTCACTTTGACCCCGCGGCGGTGCGTGCCGCCTTGGAGGAGTGCGGCGAGCCCGGCGAGCCCCGCAGCTAGGGACGGAGGTGGAGTTCGGGGTGATTTAGATGAGAATGCGTCCAAAGAAACCGGTCATTTCAAGGAATTGTCCTCCTAAAATGGCTGATGTGGCACCCTGCCCTCCCCAAACTTGTAGGATTGGACGAACTACCGATCGCGTGGTCTTGCCGTTTCCGTTAATTTTTGAGGTGTTTTAATTCATGCGTGTGCAGGCTGTGGCTTAAAACAAAAGGACACGGACCTTAACCCTCTTAACCTAGTCCTTCTACCGTGCAGGGTGGACCTTGTTCATGCATCCCACCAGGTCACCAGGATATTTTTGGGGTGCAGCCGGTCAACTCAGTGGGAGGGCAGCCGCAGAGGCTTGCCGGTATGGTGCCCATGGTCTCGCAGCCAGGAGGGGGCGCCTTATGTGTGGGACGGCTTTGCCAGTGCTGCCGAGATCCAGCAGGCCCATGCTGCGCTGGAAGAGATGTTCCAGAGGCGCCCCAGCCAGTGTGGGATGGCCTGAAAAGCTGGGGATGGCCTGAGAGGCTGATTAACTTTTGGTGTATTTGGTATTGGGTGTGTATTAAATCAGGGAGACCTCCCAGGCAATGACCCCTGGAAGAAGGGAAATAGACCAGTCTACCCATTGGTTGGGGATCTCCCTGTTCAAATGCGTGCGATTGTTGAGCATGTGAGATCCAGTTGTTGGTAAGTCCAACTTGGGACCTTCACCAAATCTGCTGGTGATGTTCAAATGTTGACCGGCATAGAAATTCAGAAAAGCATGACAACAGAGGGGTGAGAGGCCTGAACACCCTTGCCAGCCAGCCAGGGGCCTGGTGAGGAAGTAGGATATCAGCCTCCAGCCTAATTAATAGCGATGGCCTCCAACCTGGTAGCTTCTTGTTACTAGTTGCAATGCCCTTGACTCAGTCCCAGGGGCCAGCTGAGCCGTGGCAGCGGCCTTTGGGTGGACGAATGCAACGAGGGCGGCCACGCGAGGAACCGGAAAGCACTGGAGGGGCAGCAGCGTGACGATGCCTGTGGCTTTTGGGATGTGCAAGGCACCCACCAACCGCATGGCTTTGGCGGCGTAGGCTTGTTTTGTGGCAGGTGATCCCCCCGTCTCGAAATTGCTTGAAGGTTAGGTAGCTTCAGGTGGTCAGTAGTATGGCCTATAGCCTATAGCACAATTTGGGTTGGGTGATACATGGGGAATGTACCAAAACAGTCATTTTGGAGCACAATGAGATGAGCAGGTTTGCTTCGTTCCGTGCTTGTTCGATCAGAGATGTAAGCACGAGCTGGGTCTTAAAGAACCAAGTTGAACACCTTGACGGTTCACTTTTGGGGTTATCACTGCACCATGTTGACAAGGTCATGTTCCCATTGCAGAGGATCGCTAAGGATCGCTTCTCTATTTTGCAACCCCAAAAAGGGAAATACCTGTCGGCTGTTAGGAGTGCATAGACGGCTCAACTCATTTCCAGTTGTGTTCGATTAACCCAATGTAGCTCCAGTGCATTCAACCCCAAAATATATAGTCAAACTGGCCACTCAAGCTTCAACATGCTTAAGGCTTAAAGCAACAATGAGAGCTTTGCTGGATTCACATACTATCACAGACACACTCCGAAAGAAAAGGGAGCTGTGGAAATGACGTGTTCCTGCACATACTCGCAGCGAGGCCCCGGGTTAGGGACAGGTTGTAATCTCTTGAAACCGCTGAGCGCCACTGTTTTCCTGACCCTGCTCTAGGTGGTGCTCCAGCACCCCCTGCGCCAGTGCTGAAGCTTTTTCACCGCTTGGAGGTGGCAGCTGCCAGGCACCAATCCAAATTTTGGATTTAGCTGTCCAAAGAATAGAATATACAGACTTGGTAACTATTTAAAGGTCAAAATTAAAGGGTATCCTTTTTGAGTGGAATTTGGGTTGGTCGATGTGTATATATATATATATGACATATATAAATAAAGGTTTGCACACAAAGTGTGTTGGAGATAAAGAATGTGCGTATTACTTTTCTATCAAATATAATCCATATGTTTGAAGGACCTCCCAAGCCGTGATCTCTTTGTTGTTTCAGTTCGGCAGGGCAGACCCTTCGACAGGTTGTTCTCAAATGAAACGTCCAGTTTCTGCCCCTGTCAGGGCGTTCAGCCGAGCCCAAACAAGACGGCAATCTGTACACTGTGTAACCATTTAAATATACATGGATGATCCCAGAGTATTGAAAATACATAATCTCTCCACAAACCGTTCACAAGAGTCGGAGTCTTCCAGATTTCTTGAGATGCCGTTTAGGGGGTGGCTTTTTGTTCTCTCTACGTTCTTTTTTTCTCTTCGGAGTCTTCAATGGACTCTTGTTTTTTACCCGGCTCGTTCCCCACCAGGCTCCGGAGTTCCTTCGGATGGCCATTGCTTTGCAGCCGCCTGGGCATGGCAGCTGCTCCTTGGACGGAGGAACCGGAGGAAAAGGAGGTGCCACGGGAAGAAGGCAGCGAACCCGGCCTTGCCATGGTGTTGGTGTTTTGTTTGAAGATTGGTAGGTTCAAACAGAAAGAATCGACAAAACAGCAATCCATGGCAATCGCAGAATCAGATGGTTGTGCTGTTTTCGGTTTGCTGCTTGGGCTTTGGCTCTCAATGTAAGAGTCAATGTAGGAAAGGGAGAGTCCATCAGCAAGTAAGCTGAATTTGAGCACCTTTGAGCACCTCTCGGACCACTCTTGTCATGCTCCATTTTCCGGATGCCTAGGTCTATGATGGCCAGGGCGCGTGCTATGAACAGCACCGGGACAACGAGTGGCAGCGGCACCTAAGATCGCGGACGCCCCAAGGCACGCGAGGAGCAACTCTTTGACCAGACAATAGAAAACAGTTTCAAAAGGGGAAGGTGGTTTTTTGAAACTTGTGATAAAGCTGTTCAAGAAGCTTGGTGTGTTTTGAACCATATCAATGTGTTCATAGAGGTGATATGGTTTTGGTTTTCTAGAACAGCTTGTGTGCCATTGCTTGTGGGGAGAGCCAAACTTTTCGGGAGGGAACAAACACTCGTAAAGTCCATCAGCAGAGTCCTTCAAATAGTTTGGTTTCGGACACAGATCTTTGAAAACCATCACAGATCTTTGGACACAGAGTTTTCACTTTGAACAAGAAGCTACTAGGGGCTCCTGGCTCTTTGGACACAGATCTTCAAAAACCACCTGGCTGGAGACAGAGTTTTTCACGAGGTTCACAAGTACTGCATTCCACTTGCCCCAAGAATCCGGACCCTCAACGGGCCCGTGTGCTTCTTTCTGCGGCAATCGTTGGAGTGGCAATCGGTCCGACCCTTGCGGCACTCGGTGGGGCAGCGGAGCGCACCGCTTCGTTCGTCAGGCCTCCTTCCCAAGACTGCTGCGGAAGCGCAGCAGCGGCGCTTGGAGTTGGGCGAGTCGGGTGCTGCGGCAGAAGATGGAGGAGTAAACCGAGTACAGTGAAAACATGATGTTCATTTTCTCAAACCACTATACCCTATAGTGTTTTTGCCGAGGTGGGTGATCCGTTGAAGGTGTACGTGGATGCTCGCTTTTCAGCCTCCGGCGCGGGGGGGGTATGGAGATAAACATCAAAGTGGATGCGAGGCCCCGCTCAAAAGCTGCGGCTGTGATCAGTTTGGGATGGACATCCATTTCACCAGCCTTGGCAACAAAGGACCATCCAAGCCTGGAGGTTTCTTCAACCCCGCCCAAAAGACCACAGACCACAGTGAAACACGCAGTGCTTTGCACGCTTCCACCAACAAATGCATGTGTCAGAACCTCCCATCTCAACTGCAGACATATAAATAAATTAGTCCGATATACCAAAGCCACTTGTAGTCAGTCCTATCCCGACTGCTGTCCTACATGCTTGTACAGCAATCCATTATTTCTTATAAACAATCCTCTATGGTCCTACACCAATGTTGTCTCCCAACAAAAGCCAGCGCATCTGGGAGCTGCCTTTGACGCTGAAAATACAGCCCAGGTGGCGCGCCGATGAATTTCCGAGAGCTCACCATGTGAGGAAGACCCAGGGAGCACCGGCGGAGATCTCACAGGTGAGTTGAAACCATATAGTAGTAGGGGAGCTCCAAATTTTTGTTGCTGGGCCTCGCGGAGTGGGTTTTTGGATATTTTGGTGCTTCTTGCATTGTTACGCAAAGGCCGCTTACTGTGACAGCTCCTGTAAGGTATGTTTCTGGGGGAAATGCAAGTAGCCTTGATGTATATGTATATATTCAACCTTTGATACCACCCAGGACAAGATGGGACATAGAGAACGTGGCAGTGCATGTGCAGTTTGTAGTTGGATGCTAGAGCCTAGGGAATGTAGTCTTGTGTTTTTTTATCCTTGTGGTTGGCCGTGTGTTTGTGTTCCCAGACGCTCCATGTATGCCATTATCATTATGCCTACATTGACGGCCCAACTGATCGGCATAAATTCCATACATGGAGCGTCTGGGGTTGGTATACAAATTTAATGTTTCAGTGCATGTTCTGGTGCCTTTAAGTGTTCGTCCCAACAAGTGCCATGAACTGAGAACGGGTGAGGCAGGTGACTGAGGCAGGTGAGGCAGGATCTGTGTGACCTGTTGGATGTGACAGAGATGGCTGGAGGTCATAGACTTCCAAGGATGGATGGATGCCTCCTCCACTCCCTTTGCTATATCCGTAGCGTCCTTGCTCCTAGTAGCGATGCCAGGAGCCCCTAGTAGTGTCCTTGCTCCTAGTAGCCTATATATAATAGGCTTTAAGAAGATGCTGTGGATGTTTATGACTTAGATCTTTGGTAATTTTAGGTACTTGAGGCACCCAAGAAATCTGAGCAGCTTTTGTCACCCGTGGAGGCCTGAAACGTGGTAGAAACAAAAGAAACTGCATCCGAAGATGACAAGATCAAGCTGAGACTGAGATCATCTTAGATCCGTGGTTGCTGCTCCCAGGCTAGCCTATGTGAATATGCCAGAGGAGCAAACAGAGCAGCTGCCATTGCCGCACTTTCCAGCTCCAGTTGAGTCTCCATAAGCAAACAAAACAGTACCCAACAGTACCCATCATAAGGGCTGAATGTGGCTGTCTTGATACTCCTTTCTCGATCGATTCACTCTCTGGCTCGGTCTGTGCCCGGTCGCACCCGCACCGACCGTCCCAGCGCGGACGGCAGGACTTCGGAGACCACGCCGTGGGCCGTGCCAATGGTGGCCGCCTGCGGTGCTACGTGGCCACGAAGCGCGGCGACTTGAGGGGCGACACGGCGCAGCAGCTCCAGGCAAGACCGAAGAGCGAAGGATGAGTTTGGAGGTACTGCTTTTGGGGATTCCAAAGGCTGGCACCGATGTTTGATCTTAAGAGGATGGGATTCAAATGGATTCAACATGCATTGATATATATATATATATATATTCTGGAGAGAGTGGTGCTGAAACAAAGAATTGCCAGAACCCTCGTTTTCAATAAGATTCATATAGAGTTTTCATGTGTGTTCCATGTCCTTGGATCAAAAGATTGATTCTGCTGCACCCATGATTCAACTGAGAAACCGCTGGACTCCTTCCAAACCAGTACCTTCCCGCCACCCGCGACCCCTCCACTGGTGTTGGCCGACGCCACGTGAACGTCGCCAGGATCTGGAGCCTTTGGGTGGCCGAGCAGTGATCTTCCGCTCCAAGGACCTGCTCCACGAGGCGAAGAAAGGACCACCGGTGGGTCAGCACCGTTACGTCACGTTTGGGAGGTGTCCGGTTGACCCGGGGGTTGACCGGTTGGGGTTTTGGAGAAGGCAAGAACAGCAAGCACGGAACAGCACGAGGTTGTGAGTTTTCTCCACGGTGGTCCGCAGTGGACCTGTTAGCAGTGTTGTGTGTGTTTTTGCGTTCTTTGGTTGCTTGTTTCTTTTTCATAAGTTTTAGGGGGCATCTACACAAGTGCTCACTGGCTCCAGATTTCACACAAGATCCATGGACCAAGGTACAGTACACTGACTTCGAATTTGACTACATTAGCCAGAGAAATAGATTCATAGAACATCACTGACTTGCGTGTACAACCAGGAAGAACATTACAAACATTCGAAGGAGGCTCGGCTTGCCGCTTGCCTGGTTCATTGAGATTTGAAGGATCATCACGGATCAGGTGAAGTTCTGTGTCGAATTTCCCGAAAATAAAAGAGGTGACTCGGAGCGTCCATTCACCAGGTTTGACTGAAGGCCCGAGAGCTCAGCTAGTCTCAACTTCTAATCAGCTCACTCAGCTAAGCCTGTAAGCCAACAGATCATGGGAAGGCGGCTTGCTCAGTGATTGGGCGACACTGTGAGTATTCAGCTATGATAGCATGAAAGCAAAACGTGCACGAACCCTTAGGACAACGAACAATGGTGAGAGGGTTTTGTTCCCAACATGTCAGCACACATCTCTTTTATACTTTATACTTGGACTGTTGTGTTTTGCCGCTTACAACGGAACTGTCTTCTTGCTATAAAGCCCCGAAGTGCCTATCTTGACGTTCGCACCCTAGATGCATGATCAGTCCGTATACTATATCATATCTAGAGATTTGGATCAACCATAATTATGTCATGTGTACTGCTGAGAAGATCATTTCCTTGGGCTTATCGGCTTCGGACGGTGTTGTGTCGGACGACGATTCCGACCCTTGGGACGACGATTCCGATCCTTGGGAAGCTGCACGCGACCGGAACGGAGGCGGTTCGAGCGCAGGTCTTACCGAGCTTCTGTCGCCGCTATTGCCTCACCTTCTGGGTTTGCACCCCGCATTGAGCTCAAAAAGCTGTGCAGGTGATGCACAGGGATGGAAAGGTGAGAGATCAATATAGGAAGGTGTCATTCTTTCTTTTGAGTGTAACCAGGTGAAGGTTCTGTCAGACGTTTCATGGACAACATGTAACAGCATCTGATTTGGGACCCTGTGAATCCCTAGTATGATATCAACGTTGCAGCGTTCTGGAACACAGCAGTGTGCTTCGAGGCCACCCAAACAGTGACTCAGATGTCGGACTATTCGCAGGGGCCGATTGAAATTCGAAGCCTCCAAGAACCGCACACAATATAAATGACAACATGTCGGGATCATACCGGAGATCCTTACACGATGGATTTTCTCAACTATGTTTAGCTTATGGCAAAACGTGTGTAGTGGTAGATGAGGCAAGCATTGGCAGTTTCATCCTTTTCTTTGCTTGCACATGGAACGGGTAGCAACAAGGCCCAGACACCAAATCTGGTGGGTCAACGGTCAACGAGAGAACATTGGCCTGGTTTCATGACATAGCGTTTGCTGCACGTGGACTTTGCTGGCGTATGTTCCATGAATTCAGCCCTTCCAAGTTTTCACAATTCACCTGCGCTGATGTGCAAGGAACCGAATAGATTTAAAAGGTACTACTCGGTATTACATAGATCCTGGGCTTGAGCTACGGTGGAATGATGCATTGACTTCTGAAGCCAACCCTATGGACGTTGCAATTCCAATCAGACCTAACCCACATGTGCCTGTGGGTAGATCCGTCCGTTTCCGCCGCTTTGCACGCATGCTTCTGCAGCGGTCCGCGGTTCAAAGACAACCCCCGCCGTTGGCAGCGGACACCGGTAGGCCGGGGTAGGTCAGGAAGGCGGAAGGGATCACTGGTATCAATAAGTGGTATTATCTAACCACTGGCATGTTGTTAATTTTGAGACCTGCTCTGGTGTTTTGTAGCTACCAAATGGTTTGCACAACCCCACCTCTCAAATTGGCACAGGGATCTGGCTAGATTTCTTTCGGAGCACAGCAGCCTTTGCAAAGCCCGTCCGCACCGGTAGGCCAAGCACTCCGCACCGGTATGTCGAGGGTGTGAGGGACGAAGCGACAGATGAGACGGTCCATCATCGCGCCGCGCCGCGGGATCCCTTTCGTGGCATGGACGGTTTTGGGGCACAGCGCGGCGCCGATGCCGATGATTTGTTTGGAGATACAGGGGCTCAAACATTGAGACCTAGATGTTCAGGGTCCATCCAATGGAAAAATACAAAAAAATCCAACATTGTGAAACATCAGTGGTTCCGAAAGATGAGGTGTGGAGGAGCCGTGATGGTTTTCTCATGTTTTCTCACCATTGTTTTTACATGCAGGTTTGAATGTTGATTCATACAGATGAACATGATGGTCTTGCATTTGGGATGTGATCCCCAAGGGACTCCATAATGCATGATCCGCCAGGAGCAATGAGCGCTGCTCCACTACTCCCTCCGGGCTTGGAGGTAGGTTAAACTCAGCGCGAGTGCAGTTTTACGGAAAAAGGGCCAGTCGAATCCTGATGAATCCTGTGTATGATGGCCTTGCCCATTACCCTCCAATCGAGCAACATCTGAATGCACCATGTTGGCCACATAGGAAGTTCAATTCGTGTCTTGGCCCGCGGTGGCAAGGTTGTGGAGGGGAATCAAGGCACAATCATTAATAACCTTTTTGTTTCAATTGCCTCGCAACCAACGTTGCAGGGAAAGGTTGACCCACCTTGCGTTTCTGCACCATGGAACAGTGGCAGACAGACAGCTGGATAGATGCAATCCGTCATCAGACCGTCACATAATATACAGTAGACATCATGTCATGTCTGATGAATGATCATGTAGAACCGATGCCTTTAATCCCTACCATCGTGAATCAAGTGCACGAAACCCTGCACACCGGTCTCCGGCGGTGACCAGGGATCATTCAGATCGGCCGGCATCGCCGAGACCGCTCGCCGCCAAGCAGGGATCAGGTGAGTCGTCGGATGGTTCAGGTCCTATAGGCCAGGTCGAGTCCAGGATGAGTCGGTCCTTGGCTTCGTTCGTACTCCCTTAAGAGGATCGTCTTTGGAAGACCCCCACATCCCTGACATCAAAACGATGTGGAAGGAAGGCATGGTTTGTGGATGTTTGTGGGAAGACTCCCTGAAAGGGGAGTTCACTCCACTTCCATTTAAAATTCAGGGAGTGGTGGTCCTCCAGTTTGAAGCCTGGAGCCTGGTCCAAGCGGAGTCTCGAGGCTCATTGGATGAGCCTCGAGGTGTGTTGCTCGTGGGGTGTCCTTCCAACGTCATTTGCCTGCGCGTGAGGCCAAAACCGCAGAGGTCCAGGCAGAAAGAGACGTCGACTCGATGTGGAGAGATTGTTTTTTTGTGAATCATAAATTGGGTTCAAGATTGGAGGTTTTATAGGATGTTATAGGTATAAGCCTCCAGTTTCCGACATCGAATCCAGATTCTGCAGTACCTGCGGCAGAACAAAGCACCCCCGTGGCAGCCATGCCAAACCCATCTATGATCCGGGGGCTAAAATGGAGCAAAAAGGTCGGCAGAAAGTAGGGGCGTCCCAAGGTTTGTCCATGTTTTATTGGAGGAATGCATGGTGGGCTTAGACCATCTCTCAACATGTTTGTGAATCAGCCACGGACGCCCCCCACGAGAAAAGAGGGCGAGCTTATCAACGGGATGAGATGGCCTAGAGGTGTGTGACAGATTGTGGCAGCTGGTTGCTGACGACGTCCCACCCAGTCCCAACCAGTCGCAGTGCGAAAGACGAATTGGGTCTGAAATGATCTTTTTTAAATTGGGAAGGCTTGTGGCTCAGGGGTTCCAGCTTAGTGGTGTATGGAGTGAGCCGACCCCCCAAGAAAAGCAAATATATATATATATATAGAGATACAACAACGTGAATATACGTGAATGCCCTCTAAGCATGTAGCAATGGAAACCGTCAATCTTTCTATATTTGTTGTGCACATATGTTTCATGGCGAATGTGTTGGACCTTCTCAAGTGCTTTTCTATCGTGTCCGCGCAGGACACAATGATGCCTGAGGTGAATGCGCACGACTCCATGCTGCAGGCGTCAAGTTGATCATAGTTGAACCTGGATTGGATGTGCAAGAACTTAAACGGACAAGCGACACGGTCCTATTCTTGGACCCTAGCGCTATGCTCATGAAGCAAGGACAAATAGAGACAATGTATCACGCAAAGGAGCAGAGTGTGTTTTTGTTCGGGTGGGCAGGCAGCCCAGTTGGTGTGATGAAGAAGAATAATAGTAATAATAATAAGATGATGATGATGTGCTTTGCTTATTACTATGTCTATTTTTGGTGACGAACAGTTACTCCATAATTTGATCAAAGGCTGAAAACGAGTGCATGTCTCGGGTTCCACCATCACCCGACAGTCTGCAGCTTTGAACAGTTGGAAGCAGATGTCCGCCAAGAGATTGTCATGAAGCTATGTCAGCTATAGACTAGAATCTAGAAGATGCTGTTGCTTGAGTTTCTCTCAGTGTGCTAAATTCTCAGACAAATGGTCCAAGGATGGCATAGGTTATTTTTACCTTTCTAGTCCGGGAGCAGCTGTTTTCTGCCGCTTCACTGACATGCTTGACTGCGGAAATGGCAAAAACTTCCTGGAAACCGGTGGGGTGCTTTTCGTGAATGTTTGTTATGTGCCCTAAGAATCTGGGCCCTCAAACAAATCAGGTCCAAGGTGGGCCAACCCTTGATGGAAATGGGCCTACTCTGACAGAGGTGGGCACACCCTTACACCCTTGATGGAGATGGGCCCACCTTGCTAGAGGTTGACCGGTCGGACCCGTTTTCCTCCCTTCTTACCTCATGGAAAAGGTCCGACCCCCGCGTGAAAGAGGTCGGACCCGCGCCCAGATTCTTCAAAGGAATTCTCCTCCAACAACACACCTCCATTCTCTGCTCTCGATGTCCCGTTTCCTCAAGCCCAGGCCATGCGTGACGCTGTCCTCTTGGAAGTTGAGAGGAGCGTCCAGGACCCGTCGTGGGGGGGGTTGGCGGCGGTTGAAATGCATTGGTCCCAAAAAAGCACACACACACATAGTTTGCATCTAAGTTGTAAACACAGAGGCAATCATGGTATGTGAAATGGGTTCTTGTACACCAAAGCAGTCATGGTATGTCAAAGGAGTTTGTGTACACCAAAGCAATCATGGTGCGTGAAAGGAGCTTACATGAAAGGAGTTCTTGAAAACCATGGCGACAACCAGTGAATAAGATCAATTACAGTAATAACCAGGGTTTACACATACTCGATATACACAGTATATGGACATCGTATGATGGATGATGACCAGAAATGAGCGCCGTCAAAGAAGAACACGCTAGCCCCAGTCACCCAAACTGATAAAGGGGGCACTGATGATTTCCATGCCGTGGCTTACCACAATCTTGGCACATGCTTTTAGGGAATGAACCTGCTGATCGATCCCATTTTCAGGCATGGACGACGATGTCGAAACAAAAATAAAAACTGCCATGTACTTATTATGAATCTCTCAAACATCTCATATTACCTCTCATAGTGCCAAAGTCTTAGTGCATCTTAGTACTATATATGACTATGAATCTCTCAGAAGTCTCGCTGCTTTGCATCTTTGGAAACTAACTAGAGATTTTGGTGACTCGAGTCCACTCGATGTCCATTCCGGAAAAGGAACGTACCGAGCAACTGTGGGCCAAAGGGAAGCAGGCGTTTTGGGAAGCAACTGGTCATTCGAAGCAAGCCGGTGGGGTTGGGAAAAGAGGAAGGTATGGGCCGCTGCAGCTTTATTGGACACCTCTGCAGTTTGGGGTCTTTTTCAAGGGGCCCAACGGCCCAACTGGTATGTTTCTTGTTCTTTCTCTTTGTATTCCTACTGGTACTAGTATGACTTTCATGACCAAAGAGGCCTGAGCTTCTCAGAAGGGACCTTCGGCTCTGCGAGTCAGTGGCAACGTATAGATGATTGGTTGATGTGGCAAGACATGATCAGCTCGAGAAGTGCGTGTCTCTGGAATTCAGCATCGCACAGAAAGATCAACGGGGTTGAGATCTTGAGCACCTCAATGACCAATCCAGCGACCCGCGAGATGGAACATTTACGGTGGGTTAACATGTTGACTGAGGTCCCGAGGTGCTACAGGAGTTCTTCCTTCATTGGTAGCAGTCCAACTCTTTCCAGTGGTAAGTGCAATCGTGCAAAAAAAGGTTAGGCTGTAACGAAGGAGATGCCTGCCCAGGCAGTATTAAGTTAGGACCACTGCATTGCAGAGAACAGCTGGCCCTTTTGGGAAGGTTTGTTGAGCCACAACCCTGCCTAGCAAGCTTCTACCAGGTGGATTTGGCGAGTATCCTGATAGTGAGCTTCTCACTGAAAGTCCGATATTCTCATGGTTCTCATACATATCCCAGACGCTCCATGTATGCCATATATGCCTACATTGGGCACCAGTTAATGTAGGTATATCTGGCAGTCCCATGGAGTGTATGGGTATTCATGGATTTGGGCCCAGCCCGTCCCAACAGGCGGAGCGTTCAGATTCCCCAGAGGACCGTCCGATTTAGGATGTAGCTCCAGTTCAAGGGTGTTTGTCAATTAGAAATTGGACCCCAAAACGGCCAAAAACGCTGTTTTCCTTTGTTTTGTATAGTGGGCACGCAACCATTGGTTTTTCCCCCCTTTACATCTCCACATGCAGTCTTCCAAGGTGCTATGCATCTCATCATATCTCATTGATCTCACCCACTTAAATTCCTGACCTCACCTTCCTGACCTTCGATTTCCACCTCTGGACGTTCGCCCACCTCGCCGCCCCGACCTGGTCCGCTAGGCCTTCCAGCAAGCTCAGCAGAAGCATCGTGAGGAAGTCCAACGCCTCACTGAGGAGGTTCCGTGCGGAGTGCGCACCGCTGTTTTATAAAGGAGGAAAGGGATACACCCACAGGTTGATGTGGATCCTTCCCTCGAGGGTGTCAAAACAGCTGAAGAGAACAGAAGAAGACTTGACAGATCTGAACGATTGGGAGAATTGTCTTTTGGGGTGACGGAGCTCAGTCAGCAGCTGTATAGCCATGATGTGCATCGCAGCACGAAAAGAGACTGAGCAACCCCATCTTGATGTGGGACGGTAGCTAGATGCCATCCATCCCAACTTGCAGGTGGGGCAAGTGTCGGATCCGCAATCCCGCAGTTTTCCCAGTGTTTGCGTGAAGGCTGAGGGGTCTTTACGTGTGAACCACGTCGACATGGCCTGGCCATAGCAGACCGGCCTGGCCATGGTGGCCGCGCCAGGTGGCACAGTGTCAAGAGAGACACAAAGTGCTGGCCGAGGAGAACGATCGTTTGCGAGAGGCCATGGCTGGTTTTGGCGGGTTTCGAGCGAAATGTTCAGCTACTGTACAGTGTCAGGACTACTGATGCCTATTTGTGACTTGTGGCTTTCGAGATGACCCTCAATAATCCAAAATACAAGCAGGTGTATTGTTAAGACATGTTAAGACATACTATTTTTATTCTCAAGGCGGTAAACGTAAGCTATAGCGCAAACATTCCTTCGAAGCATGCCAACGTGCAAGGCCTTGCAGAGCATCCTCACGAAGTGCTCCTCTTTGGCGCCGGGATTGGCGGTGCGGACCGGCGGCAGGGTGGGGGTGAATGATAGCTTTTGTTATTTGGTGAGCCCTGGTACCAGTACCATCACAGGAAAATTACACGCCCAATGACACATCAAACATATCCTGGCAGGTTCACAGGTGGTCATTTTCCTGGTTATAACCAACTTGTTTTTTTTTTCTGCGGGGTTGCTAAAAGCTCCTTCCATTCTTCCAGTTGTTTTAATGTACAAAACGGTTCAGCAGTCGTGGCGCGTGGCGTTTGCTGCCTTCCAAAATCGCGTGGCGCATAGCGCGTCGCCGACGGTCTCCGTTTTGTCCCGCAAAGGCCCGAGACCGGTTGTCCGGATCGAGGAAATCCGATTGAGAATGGATGAGGTGGTGAAACTTGTTGGGACCACGAGCGTACTGAATGGTTTGACATGTAATTTTTTGAGATGTTTCAGGGAAAGAGAACATATGATCCTCAATTGCTGGATGGCTGGTGCTCCCAGGCGACCGGTCTCTACTCTGTTTTTCGTGCGAGATATGAAGTATGCGCTGGTGACATGGTCTATGGCCATGGATGTCTATGCTGGATATCTTGGTTTTGCCACCGGAAACCGAACGTGTAGTCGTGCTGATTTTATCAATTCTAAGCTACGTGTTGTATGTGTCCGACCCAGTGGTGAGTTGATCAGAAAGGACATCGACATTGTAAAGACATTGTGGGGTGGGGGAGGGTGGGGGTGAGACGCCGCAGTGATGATGCAAAAGAAGGTGTTCTGTTCGAATTCGTGTGAGCCAAAAGCACAAGTCATGTACATAATTATACAGTATAGGAAGCAAAAGGAACCGCAGCGGGGGGGAGGGCCGAAGGCCTTGGGTTATTTTGTCAGCTTGCAGCTTTTTCAGTGAACCTTGTCCCAGTCAGTCTGCACTTTATAGTTATCCGTCATTTACGATGACTGTAGGTCCAAATCCAGGGATCAGTTGATAAGTCACTACAAACGGACACAGACATCAAAAGCATCAGACTGAGCTGTCGCAGCACGTGTTCTAAACCGTAGGCAAAAGAGTGCGAGTGGGCTACTGGCTGCGAGTGGCTGCGTTTTGTGGCTGCGTTCCTATGGGCACACGAAACGACACACGAAACGACATGCAACATGTTTTTGTCCCAGTTTTTGCACACAGTTTTTGCAGCAACACAGTCAGGCTACGTGCATTTCCAACAACCAGCCTCCTAAAATGTGTTATTGGTCTTTAATGTGTGTTGCAGGTTCTTGCTGCACACTCGCTTCATGATGTTGTGAAACGCACACTTCTCCGCCGCGTTCGGTTGTGTTCCGACCGGGCGGGCTGTTTTTTTCCATAAATCAGTGTGTGTTTGTCCCGTGTTTTGTCGCGATGGGTAAATCGACTGATCGAGAAGATTGTTGGTGTCTCCCGGTTCCCGGACAACAAATCCAAGATATGCGGGAGCATGGGCCCAGGGCAAATGATTGACAGCTCAGGGCAGGTCCTGGACTGCAGTCCAATCCGAAAGACAACCTTTGCCGAATACACATCGGACCGCCTAAAAATCATCATAAAAAACGAGTATAATGGGGGAGGGTCGGATATTTTCTGGAATGAGATAAAGGGAACTCACTTAGTAGTCAAGAACCATGTTCTGCTTTTGTTGCTTTGTTCCTGGGAAAATGTTGGAATGTCGATCGACTTTGGGAGTTGCTAAGCCTTATTTGGGATCAGCTTATCAATTCTGCGTGGCCATCCTCACGACAGGAATCCTTGCTGTCGCCCGCGAGCACCTTTGCCGGAGTGCTCAGCCACGAGATGTTGGATCTTCATCGGAGTTTGGGCGATGTCGCGGAGATGTGCCCGGATACCTGCAGATCTCATGGCTCATAAAATGTTCCTCAAGACCACAAGACCTTTTCGGTGGTCAAATCTGAGACTTGTTTGAGCCCCACCAACAGTGGTAGTGGCACATTTGTATCAAAGAACATCCACTTGATAGTGTGTGTTTTCTGATTTCCATGATCACTGGTTAGTTCAAGCATTGGTCAGCCTATTGCCTGAACAGGTTACACGTGTTTCGGTACATGTCACAGAAACACTGTTGCGAGTTTGAGCAACCAAACCCAACGACATCCTATCGTTGATGCAGTATGCTGTGATCCATTCAAGGTTTGGTTTCTTGCGCAAACACGGTCAATTCTAATCAGTCCTTCATATGTGTTATGACTTCCAATCTCAGGCTGGGACCTCTCCTTTGCCATCAGATGCTGCTCTCAGCGCAGCTGAGAGTCCACTGGAAGAATGTTAAAGTTGTCAAGACCCATCTCCTCACAGGTCTGGTTCAGCAGGGATGGCCTTGACTGCCTCTATCACCGACAGACATCCGAAGCATCAGATGGCTGGCGCAGATGAAATAAACATGGCGGCCATTGACATCCATTCAACAGAAGGATCAACTGATATGTAACAGTAGCGAAAACGCCTATTTATTATACTATTATATATAGTATATTTAATACTCTCTTGGGGGCCTCCAAAGGGAAGCTCATAAGTCTGTGGCCCAAAAAGGTAGTCCAGCCAGGTGATAGAGCTGGGGTATCCCGCCACTCAACAGTGCATGATGTTGTCAACAGTGCTGCTATCGTCTACCGACTTAGATCGACGTAGCAGCCATACCCGTCACATCCCTCCAGCTCACAGAATCCATGAATCCTTCTACTGCATGCGTGCGCCACTTTACATCAATGGAAGGTGCTCAAAAGGGGCAGCAACAACGTCCACACTTACATGCTGCTTGGAGAATTGAACGATAACGCAAGGATAATATATGCAAACTGCTGATCATGGACCCACTGCACCCTGCATGTGGGGCTGGTTCACCCTAAGCAGAATTTGCTGTGTCATCAGAAGCATACTATAGAGACTGCCCCGATTCCTGTCATTTTAGCCGTGGTCCGTTTGACATCCAATCCACTCGGTCGCTCAGAAATGACTCAAAAAAGCTCAACCACAAAATTCAGCTTCCAAACAGCCAAGAGAAGTGGATGACCTAGAATTTACTCAAAACACCACTCAGAAAAAATGAGACAGAAAAGAAGCCGCTCAGAAAATGACCAAGAACATGACCTAGAATCTAGGGGGTTATGGATCCGACGTTTCGGTTGTATATAAGATTATATAATCGGTTGAAGGTACGAGCACACTTGTTGTTGTGAAAGGATCCACTCCTCGTTCTTCCTTTTTCTCCGCTGCTCTCCACTCCGTTCAAGGACACCTGCAGCCATCCATCTCGGCCATATTCGCCCTACACGCCGGAAGCTGAGAAGAACTGGCTGTAACTGGCTGAGAAGAACATGGCAAAACCCAAATCCCCATGTCCTGAGGCTGTATCGGAAAGCCCAAGTCATGTGAAGTGGCGGCTTTTGCGGTCAACCATGGTCCCCCAAAACGTATGGCTTTCACATGGACCAGTGACACGAATAGTTCGCATGCAGGGAGGAAAGGGGCACCACCTTCGAGTCTAAAGAGTTCATCGATATGTGTGATTGAACGGTTTGAGAACGATCTGTTTTGAGGGCATGTCCTACATATCCTGATGTGCATGTTCCATGGCTGTTTGTATGACTAGATGCATCCGGTTGATATATATATATATGTAGCGTTGCTTCTGCACATGAAGCTATAAGCCTATATAGTCTGTTTTAACGTGACCATATGTGAACTATTTATATTGTTGTGAGTGCAGCCAAATAAGATAAGGTGCACCATGGTGCACCAGTGCACCCTGCACAATCTATCGAACAGCGGACTAGTAGACTTGGTCCCTGAACCTTTTGATGGTCAGAAGTTTTGGTCGATGTTTCTTTGTCAGGGCACATGCTGAACTCAGCCAAAAATGACATGTCTTTCCGAGTTGGATCATGAGTTGATGCCACCATCACTTGAGACCCTGATCACCATCTCCTTTCATCTTCGATGAGGGACCGGGAGGCCCGGAGAGAGAGAAAGAGGGACCATTTTCGAGATGAGCCGCGATGTCGGCCAGAATTGGCGACGAGGCCAGGAATGGACTTCTATTCCAACGAGGTGGGTGACGGGTGGGTGACGGGTGGTGGGGCAAGCTGTCGAGGCTGCGGGTGCCTGTTTCTGAGCGGCCCACATGGGCACTGTTAATGTGATGCTCCTTGATAATCCAAGAAATCACTTTGAATTCCCCCTGTCCCTGTGCCGTTTTTGGTCGCTCAAGGGTTTGTGATTGATGTGATTTGTTCTTTGTACCAAGGTCACCCCTATCATCGTTCAAGGACGGTCAAGGACTAATCCACGGTCAATTGGGCTACTGGTCGATGTACAACATGGACAACAAATCAATTGACTACGGGTGCTCACCAGACCATTTCATGTTCTATATTTTGGGGAACAGTGGATCTTAACAATCCTTAATATGAGCGAGCTCAATGATCCCTCAACCCTTTTGGTGCACTAGCAGGAGGAGCAGCTTCATCGTTGTAGCATATCTTGGCGACCCCGCTCAGGTTTTCGCATGCAACACCTCCTTGGCTGGGTGGGATGGATTCTGAGATGGATTGATTCGATGAGTCTCCACACGAGTCTCCGTGGTGGATGCGTCGATTTTCATGGTCCTGTGTCGCGAAGCTCATAGGGCTGACGCCGTTCGAATCACTGGACCGACACCGAATTCGCGGCATGAGACACATCGTGGTGACTGAAAGTGATTGGACAAGGACATCATTGAGCTTACAAAAAACCCTATCATTCATGGAGACAAACGATCTATACATCACTACACACTTCTCCAGCTACCAAATAGGGCAGTTGCTTTGGCTATAGAACACCAAGCTCCATGCTGGGAGGTGGGCATCAGAAGTACTATGTTCATAGGACTGCTTAAGAATCCTATCCAGCCATCCGCAAGGTGCTGTTGCCAGAGGCCGTGTGAGACATGGAAACAGCCGTGGCCGAAGTAGTCAACCAATGTGACCTGCAGCCCCTTTGGTTGACAACATGCATCTTCAAGGATATATAATGATTTCCAATGGCTGTGTTGCCGAAAGGGGTCTGTCGTTGTGCAGCTTAAGATCAATCACTTCAGTTTTTGGCCACAATGTGCCACAACCAGCAATGTGTTCGGTTGTTGTTCAGACAAAATCAATCAAAAGGCCAATGGAAGAAGCCATAAAAGAGCTGGGTTTGCTGAGTTTCAGAGGATGAAACTTCCTTTTTTCTCCTGGTCAACACACAGATGGGGGTTCCTTTGGTGAGTTGTGAAAGATGTCGGACACCAGTTGTGCAAGAGAATGCTCTGTGGTTGGCAGATCCTGCGCCCCAACATGTACCCTGTACCCTTTGACCCTTTGACTAAAATTAAATTGGAGTTCGCCACCTCTTTGGTATTCAGAAAATGGTTTTCCCAGTTGCCATGTTCCAGTGAAGTGGGAGTGTAAGGGCGTGGGCCAAAAGTGAGTCTTCACCAGACTGCCAGAGGGACTTCACCACTGTCAGTGGACCCAAGCTGGGGGCAAGTCCTGCACAATGGAGACTTTGGGTGATCTGTTTGCTGCAGTCTGTGTTGACCATGCGGTCTCGGTCCAACCCATGCAGGGCGTATGTGTCCGTTTTGAGGTCTCAATCCACCGTATAAACGTGGAGTGCCTTGATCGGTTGTGGACTATGGAGGAAGTGGTTGGACACTACATCTCCACATATCTCCACAGCTTGTGTGGCCGTTTCGATGCTCTCGTCCGGATTGCAAGAAGATCAATGCGGCTGCTGCTCGCCAGGTACCGCCGCTGCCCTTTGGGAAGCCAGGTGAGGGTGAGATTGATCCGAGAGGCTTTTAGAAAATCAACAGCACTTTAGAACGTTGGTTCTTGTGCATTCTCAGATTGGAGGACAACGTTTTTCTTGGTGGTTGCAGAGTACTCATGTTTCTGTATGTTATGTCATGTTATGTCCAGTTTCGACTAGATGTCCCCCCACTCGGAAGCGTTCAAGTTCTAGTGATTGACACCCTGTTGGGAGGTGCTTTATTTGCGTGTGGTTTCAATACTATGAATACTAGTTTCTTTTTGGAGGTCTTGTTTGAACTGCCACTGCCCCAACCAAAAGTCCTGAAGTCCACAAAAGGAAGCATCCACACAAGTTACATCAAGTTACCAACAATGCTAACATGGTATGAATGAATTGTATGAATCATGAATACAGAAGTGTACTCCAATTCCTTCGTTCAGGTGGTTTGGTGTTCTAAAACAGCCAAGTGTCCACTTCTGTTTTGTGTTCGCTTCATAGACGTGTGGTACATGATATATTATGTTGGTCGTATCATGCATCGAGAATGGACGGCGATCGTCCGGCGCCGAAGAACGTGCACCCAACGCCTATCAACCAAAGCAGAAAAGGACACAAAGACACGGCAAAACCTGGCGGAATTGTCTCAGTTGTGTCTCTAAGCTTGGACTTTGACTCGTTGTTGTCCTTTTCGGTCCGACTACAGTGACTACTACATGACTGACTTGCTGACCGTGGCTATCAGGCGTTGCTTGTGGCTCTCCAGCGCCCTTGTCCTTGGCAGAGGTTCGGGATCACCGAAGATTGGAGGGCGGACTTGGACGGAACATGGTGCTTCGGTCAATGGAAGGTGTGTGTTTTGGGGTACTTTCTACTAGTATGGAACGAGCTGAACAGAGGTGCGTGTTCATTTGCATTTCCTGCCAGCAGTATTTGAGGGGTCTCCAGATCAACACACAGAATTCTCGGGTTACCAACAGGCAATTGAAGGAAGGAAGGAACCATGGGGGTCATTATATATGTTATTGCCTTAAGTCATATAGGATTTATTGAAAAGTGTTGATATTGACCCTGAACCTGCAATCAGATCAGGACAGACCTTCCAATATGTAGAATTCCACGCAACATCGGTGGTCTTCCAGATGTTTTCCACCTTCCAGCACCTTTCGGTGCCTGGCGCAGCCGGAGGCCCTGGGCCCACGCGTGAACCCACTGCGCTTGTCACTGGCGTGCGGAGACCCATGGCTTTCTCCGTCCGACCCGGCATGGGGTGCTTGGTGGTTGTCTGCGACCTCGCACTCCTCCGCACGGGCACGTTGCAGCATACGGGGTGGTTGCTTGGAGGTCTCGGTCCGACAAGGATGTCTTGAGAGACAAGCAGACTCTATAGTAAACTATAGGCTGTTGATCTAAGAAACCTCCTTAGAGCTTACGCTTGATCAATCCATTTTGGATCAATTTGGTGGAGTTTATTAATCACGAGGTCTACATTAGAGTAACACCACACAATATCTCTTTTGGATCAGGACACCGGACATCCCACCTACACCATGTGTGCCTTGAACAAGTGCAAGTTTTGCATTTTCGACCAATTGGGAATGAAACGCCACGCAAGACTGGCTCCCGAGTCCAAAAACTCCTGACAGAGTCGAAACTGTTTTTGCGAGGTTCGCCGGCCATGAAACGAAGTTCCGAAGTCTGTAACAACTAAATACCCTATATATGAATGAGGAAAGTCTGGGTTCATGTGGTTTCAGCATATCCCTTTTCATCCCTTTGGTCGGCAGCGGTGGAATAGGCGATTGTTTAGGGTCAGATTCAGTCAAGCCGAGGGAATCGTTGGGAGACACTGCGCACGTGGAGAAGTCAGGCAGGGCGCAGAGCCCGTCTTGGGAGCGGAGGGATCTGGTAGACCACCTTTGGTCTAACAGTTCATGTTCCAAGCCGTTTCTGTGTTTGTTGCGCAAACAACATTAGCCAAAACCCTTCGTCGGTGCTTAGAGCGACTTCTGGGAAAGGTACAGCGAGGAGACTCTGCGTCCCGCTAGCAGACATAGCAGACACATCTTAAATATATACTGTATATGTGCAAGTCATTGGATGAACATAGGTAGTGACGAGTAACTAGTCCTTCTTTTGTTTTGTGGATGATGTCCCTTTCAAGACATGGATTTCCATGGGACCACACCAATTGAACGGATGTCCAGGCTTTTGAAGAGGTCTTCACTGTATCGAGTTGGGGCTGCCCAACGTAGTTGTCACATGCTGTAACGCTGGAACTTCAATGATTCAAGGGGACCAGGTTAGGGATACAGTTGAAGGCTCGAGGGAATGTTGGTTTCGTAAGTAGCTGGACCTGTTGGACTTGTTTCGTGTTTGCGAGGTGTTGTTAGAGGGAGGCGGTCAAAAAACAACAACGGGGCTGCAGTCTTTGTCTCTAGCCGGATACAAAAACAAACCACGGGGCTCCAGTTTTGATTCTAGGATCTGGTAGAGCTATAGATAGATTGGTCGACAGACAGACAGACAGACAGACAGAGACAGACAGAGACAGACAGAGAGTAGCGGTAGAAGCTGCAGCAGGAGGAGTAGTAGTAGTAGTACGAGGAGGAGGAGAAGGAGGTGGTAGCAGTAGTATGAGGAGGAGTAGGAGTAGTAGGAGCAGTAGCAGTAGTAGTAGTAATAGTAGCAGCAGCAGCAGTAGTAGTAGTAGTAGCAGTAGTGGTAGTAGCAGCAGCAGCAGTAGTAGCAGCAGTGGTAGAGGAAGATGTGTGTTGCCCGGCTGCAGTTGTTCGTACCTTGTTGTTGTTGTTGCTGTTGTTGTCAGAGGTCTTGGTCTTCACAAAACAATGCAAGATTCAAGATACCATGGCCCTCCAAGAATTCATAGAGATGTGGTTTTATTCATGCATGAATCCTTGCATAGAAGCGTGCGATCCTCTTTGTCAGTTTTTGTGGAAGGGTTGTTGTGGAGCTTCAGCTCTGCAGCGGATATTCTGAGACTGCTGCAAGGTGACGAGTACCACGGGGTTCTACAATGACTTTCCAAAAAAAGGAGGCAGTGCTTCGATGAATTCCCAAACGCAAAAAGAGTCCTGCTCTAGCAAGCGACCGTTTTTCTCATGAACATTGTTCTCCGCAACCGTGGCGGGAACCACTTTTGACGGGACCAGTGTTCTTGCATGGATTCGTTGGATGTGTTTTTTTAATTTGAATTGTAGAAATCAATCCAAATGTTAACCGTTTCACATTTGTGTGTTGTTTTGTTGTTTTTGGTTATCAAAGAAAGCTTCCTTACCTGGCTCGACCGCCCCGGGCCCAGAAAAAGATATAACAAAAAAACCGACGGCCCGTTGCCTTCGACGGTGAAGGCGAAAAAACGTGGGAGATCACCATCTCCAAGACGACGGACACCGACCTGTGATGCGCTGGCGGTGATTTGCGGCGCGAGAGGGAGACAGCTGTTATGTGGATAGCTGGGTGATCAGTACATAGAAGGTGCCATAGAGGTGTTTTTTGACTCCGTACTGGTGTGTTTGATGTGGGGCTGGCCACCCACCATCGTTACTCTTTGCGCCTTGCTGGATAAGTTTCTGGCCTTTTCGGCGACTTGGTTGCGTCCGCAGTGGCAGGAGGACGAGGAGCTGGGTTTGGACGTTTCTCATGAAGAAGATGGAAAGGTGGGGCATGACTTTGGGCCAGTTCTGGTGGTGTCCAGTTTTGGTAGACCCCCTAAAACAGGGTGTGTTTTTGATCTCAGACCTGTGCAGCAAAACCACGTGAGGAATCCAAAAATTGGCACAATTATGCGTGGAGGGTCCAGATCAGTTGACTTTGGTTTCTTCCACTGATAAGTTGTGAGGCCATTTCAACGACAGTGATCCTTTTTTCGCTGCGTTTTTGAACAGTTCTGGAGACCATGCTATTTTACATAGCACCTTTCTTGTTCGCTTACTTATTGAGACCCTAGAAAAAGATCAGATGGCAGAAATAGACGACCAACAGATTTCAACCACGAGGTCTTACACTTCCAAATCAAACCCATGAAATTTCACCAGTGGCCCATCACGTTTCGTGAATGCCTCAGCCGTTTTGTACTGGGCCAGGTCTTGCGCGTGGATGGCTTGCGAAACGGTGTCCTCGAGGCAGACGTCGGTCAGGATGTGCGGTGCAGCAGTAAAGGAAGCTATCATTTGTGAAACTGGCAGAGGTCAGGTGCAAATTGTCCATACTAATTGGAATCTGTACAGGAGGCAAAAGAAGGGCAAAGAGTAGGACAATGACATCTACAACTAGGTTCAGGATCAATCTTTACATCAGTTCGACTCGTTTTTGTTCAATTCCAACACCGCAGCAGGTGTGGAATGCGAAGTGCTTGGCTGCTGGAGAACTTGAACATGCGTCTTGGCAGCACCTGGATCGCCATGGGTCGGTTGAAGATTTTGACGACCCAACGTGGCAATTGGTGACCAAAGTGGCAGTTGGGTGTTGGCAGTTGGCAGTTGGGTGATCCCAAAGTGTTTGATTTGTGACTTTTGTACATGAAAGTCCTCTTTTGTGTCCATCATATATCTCGCTGGTCTAGAGACCTAATCGTGACATTTGTTCATGTCAATGTGGCAGTACCTAGCTGTGTTACGCAAGAACACCCAGCACCCCTTGCTCAGGAAGGGCATGTTCAGACGGTTTAGCATGTTTGTCAATCCTTCTGGGCCATCGGATGAAACATGAGTTTCCTCACAGTCCACTAACCAGAATGTGATTAACATGTTCTGTTATTAACATACTATTCATCACTTTTCATGTTATTTACAAGTCGTTGTTTTGGGCAAACAAGTATACTTAGTGTTTCGCTTCTTTCGGGACCTCACGCACCCCAAGAAAAACTGGCGCCCCCCATGGCAGAAGCCTCAATTTCTAGGCAGCCCAGTTCCTTCGCCTGGCGCAGTTAGGTTGTCAAGACTGGGGATCAGATCACCTCCTGCAATGGCATCACTGGTGCCCAAGGGATCCTCCAGGCGCCCAGCATGACCGGGCACTTCGTCGTGAAGACAGCGGGCACTTCGTCGTTTTGCGAAACCAGCTGAATGTTCGCCAGGAATTTGGAGGTTGGCTTAGTATAAGGTGCCAGGTTCATGTGAAACAGGTGACCGTAGCTTGTGGGAGATTCTTCTTTGCAGATAGATGCCAGCACAAATGGAAGTAGCACGCAAGAGTTTGCAGGGGGTGGGGTGGATAGAATCAGATTATTGTGCCAGTCAGGATGCCTGTCACAGCCACCACTACAATCGCCTCTTTTCTCAAGAAAGACTGTGTTGAAACTAAAGCCCCCTCTAAAGAGTATGTACGCATTCAAAGTCAACATAGATTCTTCTGAAGGAAGTCCAAAACACCAACCAATATCAACCATTGCAAATAGCTTGATTTATCGTATTGGAAGCAGCCAGCACATCTCCCAGTTCCACAACCTCCAATTTGTCAATCCAAGCCGGCAATCGCTTCTTTATTGGTCCAGTTGCCATGAAGCTTTGTAGAGCTAAAGAGCTAAAGCATTTTGGGGCGGAGGAACGTTCCAATGGGGCGCCAAAGACCCACGATCCCGGACCCTCGTGCCACAGCACGGAGCCACAGGAGTGTGTGTCCAATCGGACGTTGCAGTTGAGCCTTTTTCGGGAGGCAGGGAGTGGATGGGTCCCGAGCCGTTGGTGGACTCGACATGTCGGTGATCTAGAACATGCTATGCTGCTTACAAGTAGCCCAAGGTAGTGATCAAGCACCTTCTGATGTTCTTTTGATGACTCCAAATTGGAAATTGGTTCATGCTTGGCTTGGGCTTCATATGGGTTCAACACATTGACATGCACAAGACCTCCTGGTCATTGGCCCGAAGACCGATCCATATTTGTTCTAGTCATTGGTAACAGTCGTTTTTTCTAAGTTCAGATTGGACGTAGTAAGGCGTAGTACCTGTGAGGAGGTGCTCCACTGACGGAGCCCCACTCATCCCACTTGCTGAACTCTGGCAGCGCAGGACCTGCGTAAACGATGTTTGGCCAACCTTTGAGATGGTGGGATACACGGGATACACGCGGACAAAAACACCTAGTGAAATACAGTCCCATTCAGAAGTGAATAGCAGGATTCCAACGTGTCATGTGTGTATTGGAGTTGGGAGCCCTTTTGAGGCCACGATCCCCCCAAGAAGACCGGTTTGACCCATGACTTGGGGATCTCCCTAAGTTTCAATGGGTGAAATGGGCAAGGAAGGTCTGATGGACCTCGTTCCAAGACTTGGGGAAGGACGAAATGTGCCAAGCAGAGTCATGGGATGTCGCGACACCGTCACAGGTCTCAGCGACACCGCTCCTGCATCGATTCGCCTTGGGATTCCCCGACTCGGCTGGAAATGGAAAGAAAATGGAAGATCAAGGGTTCACCATACCTGAAAACAACAAGAATGGTCTCTCCCACCGGGGATCTTTCCAGGTGAGGTCATGATCCAAAAGTGAACCATTAGCCAATGGTTTGACAATGTGCATGCATACATGATCTGGCAGTGATGTTGATCTGGATAAGCCATGATAAGCCCAGATAAGCTTTAAGAAAAGCAGTAACATAGCAGCCAATCCACCCTCAAGCCTAAAAACAAAACAACAAGTTCCTTGTTCCGCCCTCGTAGCCTTTCCAAAAAGTGCATATATATATATATTATAAAATATATATTTATATATATATATGTGTTTAAGTCCGAATAGGTACTTGGTCTCTACCTAGTCCGTCGGCAGAGTCTTTGTGCCTCTCAGCTGGCGTTCCGAAAGGCCGCTGCCTCGAGTCCTTTCTCGTCGGGGATGCCCAGTGAGAGCTCTCTGGGAACAACGCGTCGTCGGTGTTCGTCGGAGGGGTTCGGAAACCGAAGAGAAATCCCCGGAACATCACAGCCGTTGGGAGTGTCAGGGAACTCTTTTAAGTTGTGATTATAATGTACTTATAGTATGGCCTACTTTGCATGTTTCACGAGATTTCGCATGCTTCGATCGTGCGCCGTCTTTTGAGATGACGAAAATTCTACACCTGTTGTGTGTCCAAATGTAAGTGAGAAGCAAGCTGATCAAACAACAAAAACTCCGCCCACAAACCGTTTTAAAGGTTCCGCGTTGAACACACACACCAACTGTTCCAACCCTCCGCTCGAATTGGTCCCGCAGGCAGCTGTTAGCCTGGTCCCGTCGCCAGGCACCTTCGAGCGGAGGCTTCGGAGTTTGTGCCAGGCGGGGGCCAAGACTTTGGAGCTCGGACGTTTGGGGTTACCGTGCGTCGCCGTCGTTTGGGTTCTTGAGAAAGGGTCATATGGTCCTATTTTCTAGTAGGGTATAGGAACTGGAGGGTCCAGGATCATGTCACGGAATCAGATGAGGACCATGTAGCGATTGATTTCAGGTTTCAGGCACACTCATTCTGGTGGAATCAGCCAGACACTAGGTGCGAAACTGCCTCCTCTACCCTGCTAGTGTTTCGGCAGGATCCCGGCGGGATGGTTGAGAAGAGCACCTTGGCTGCTCAGGACTTGCTGTTGTTTTGCTGGATGTCATCGCTGGATGTCATCCAGTGAGCTTTGTTTGGGTGTTTCAAACAAAAAGGAACTCCAGTGGTCTCTCAGTGTTTGATGGTCAGAACAACTTGTGCACCCTGGAAACCCATGTGGATGGTAGCCACCTGTAGCCTTTACCGCAGGGGGACACATCGTTTGCCTTCACCGCCGTCTCAACGTCGTTGCCCATCGTCTCCAGCCTTGGTGGGAAGATGCTGGGTGTCGGGTACGCGGTGAACGACTCAGCTGTCGGGATAAGCGGTTTTCAACACTCCATGTAGACGATCACGTCACTAGTGTGTGTGTGTGTGTTTGAAGCAATGCTACATGTTTGTCAGAGTCCAAATCTCACACGCCACTGCTAAGGTAATTTACTACTTGTTCAACTACTTGTAGTTGACAATTGACCCCACGCTCGTGTCATGTGAATTGATCTCGACAACGGGTCTGGTATGTGGGCCAATCTCGTTCACGGGTGAAAGCTGCGCAAAAGCCAGACGCTCCATGTATGGTATATATGCCTACAGTGATCCCTGAAACCACCTCAATGTAGGCACGCAGGCACATATGGCATACATGGAGTCTTTGGGAAAGACAATGCAATTGTCGTATAATATATATATTATAAATTATAAAGATACAGATCACAAGAATGTATGATATCACATGAACCATAGTCATCATATCACAAGATCACATCAACAATTGTCATATATACCCTGACGATCCATGACCACACATAGGTCACAAATAGAAATGATCTCAGGATATGCATACATTTCTATTGATCGTGTTTTTTGAAGACGTTGTCGAATCACAGATTGGGGTACCTGAAATGTATATTATACAATTCCAGTATCATTGTCGGACGATAAGACCATGAAATCCCAAGAACCAAGCATACCAGGGCGTGACGAACCGTGACAGACCGTGATTGGTCTATTTTGTCCCTTTAAAAATGATGTCATTGTCGGACTCCAGCATGACAACCCGTGACGAAATCGAACTTGGGATCGTTGGTTTTGTGGTTTTTGGGTTCTGTGGTTTTGTGGTTTTTGGGTTCTGGTATGATCTCGTTTTTTGAGGTCGGACCTCACAGGGTGAGGTCGGAGAGCCCCAGAAGACACAACCCCAAATGTTAGCATATAGAGCTAACTTTCGATCCTCAGGGATACATATATATATATATTGTGATCTTGTGATCCGTTTGTCATGACCTCCAGGAGTGTTGAATCCCACGATTTGACCACCACCACAACGTCGTGGTGTTGATGTTGCTAGGCTCAAAACGGAGCTGGAAGAAGGCACCGAACGCAGTACGTGTCTTCAGAGGTTGTGAGAGGTGGGCACTGTCGTTGTCAGCTCTCTGAAAGCTGGGGCATTGGGAAAGAATCGAAGCTACAAGCGGGCAACATAGATGCTTGACAGTTCACTCAACCTTGGCAGCGCCCTTCGCACTCGGTTTTATCCATGTTTAGTTCGGTGCGCCCACCAGGGAATTCAGTGCAAGAATCGATCGGCCCCACTTGATGAAGCAGGTTTTGGGGCAATTCGAAGCGCGGAATGAAGAAGAAGCCGTTGGTTGCAGCCCAACAACTCGCCACTGCTCGGATTGTTGAGCAGTTTGAAGCCTCCTCCTGGGTGATACAGCCACCTTTGCATCGATCTTTGCTGGGAAAACATGATGAGGGGCGTGGTATTTGATCAGGATACGGCGAGCGTTACTGGCTCTTGTTGATGAGCACTTAGAATGGTGACTCTGTAGCCTACATGGACTCACCCCGCTCATCTCAATTTTTTAGCAAAAACTTGGAGACGTTTCCCTTCCAACCAGAGACCTGGAATGACATGGCAAGTAAATCTTGCCACTATGAAATGGCAGAGCAAGTTTGAGACAACCACTCGGACATGTTAATGTTGGGATGTTATAGGCTCAAACGCCGGGTCTCGGGCCATCATCCATTCAAGAGATATTTTAATTTCTACCTGCTTATAACTTATATTATATACGGGGTTCAAAGGGATGATTGATGTATGGAGGGTGCCCGTTCTCCAGTCCGTTTGGTGCCCGTTGTGCAATCATCCTATGACATCCCAGAACTGCATGGACAACAGGCTTCACTGCTCCGACCCCGAGTCATGCCCCTCGCGGTCTGCAACCAAGTCGTGGATTCCGCAGCGAGCTCGATGGACCAGTGGTTCGGGCCAGGTCATGTCCTTTCCTGCCCAAACTTCGGATCACGACATCAACGGCGTTGACAACCTAGTTATATAACATATACATGTATATACATACATACATGTTCAAAACATATAAGTTTGACGATGTGTTCAATGGTTGTGATCAGACTTGATCAGATGCTTCCAGGCATTTGGTCGTGAGAAGCCAATCTTTGGACAGTATATGGTGTCAACCGAGATCAGTTGTTCTTTCGTCTTTCGCGATGGTGCCACATGGCACTATTTCAAAATTTATGGTGCTTTTACTTGGATCTCTCAAAAGTTATGGCCACATTCCATCGCCCATGACTCTATGCCAACGCACTAAAAAGCCTGAAGCTGGTAGCATCGGACAATGCCTTCCGCGTTTTCGTCAATGCAAGAAATGCGAGATAGATCCACAAAAGCTGCAATATGCCTGGTACGAAATGCAGAAACATCATGTTAGTTTGTTTGCTTCTGTGCGAGGTGTTTCCATTTGTTTGTTTGGAAACATGCCTGTGAGAAGACATAGACATACCAAAGATGGGCAGAATTGCGAAGCTTGCGGCAACCCTGCCGGCATCCTAGATGACATTTGAAAGGATCTTTAGGCCCCGTTGTCATGGGGAGCCCGTGTCTCAAGCTAATTGCTTGGCATGTGGGAGAGCGGATGGGAGTACTCCCACCCCGCCCTCAAAAGTGAATTCGGATGGGGGACGGAGGTTTTGGGATGATACAACTGTATGTAGTATAAAAATTAAATTGTGTTCTCGCACACTTGTGCATCTTTCAAACAACGAATTACCAAACAACCTGCTGATCGACCCAGATTTTCCTTGATGAGTTTCTTCGTATGACACATGTGACACAACAGGACACGTTGGCCACACGCAAGTGGACACATGTGCTGAATATTCTGAATTATTGTCGATCCTACATACTTGCGGTGAGTCCGAACTTTGAACATCACTTTTGGCATCTGTTGGCTTTTGTTCTCATCTGAGATTCACAGTGTACCCAAAAGGACTTGCTTTGCTTCTTGTTCCCCAGTGTGGGCCCTTTGTGGCCCGCGTCCAACGCGCGCGCTGAACGGGCTGCGATCCATGCACCAACTTGGGTTGGGTCGCTATAGGCTTTCTGAACTCTGAACATACACAAAGGTACATACATACCCTATATAGGGATACATATACTATTATATACGTATGTTTTAATGTATATAATATCATTCTTGGATAGCAGCCACCACTGTCCTGATGGGTTTCCCTCCACTTGACTGGTTTCCCTGATGAGTTCAGGTTTGCACCACTTTGCCAACTCCGCTCGGGTACTTCCGATTAGGAAGTTCAGCGGATCAAGAAGTTGAGGTGCGATCATCATAGAGAAGTTGCACCAAGAAGTTGCACCCTACCAGGGCATTTGACCAGGGAAGACAATACAGACAGAAGAACCAGAAGCAACTGTCCTTTGGAAGTCGTGACTTCCGACATCGTTTTTTCCTCCTGTTGAGGTCTCACAGTTACAGCTGTTACCTGGTAGAAGCGGTGTATTGCATCCAAAGTTTCAATCCTGTTTCATCAAGTTACCTCCAGTGCTTTTCTAGAGGACCCTGCATTTGCAAAGTGTGCGGTTCTTATTCAGCATCCATTTGGACCCTGTTCGGTCTAGCCTTTGCAGAGCTGAAGAACCGTTTCAGCGTGCGCTTTGGAACGACAATGATAGCTCTGCCCCCGGTTTTTTGGAATGAATTGGTCACGGCGAGTGCAAAAAAATGGAAAGAGAGTGAAGGGGTGGGAGATCACGGCGCGCCTAGTATTCCTCCTATTTGGCTATCCATCTTCGTTTGAGGGCCCGAAAAATCGCAGTAAAGAGGAAAGCACCGGACCCACTCGGTGGTTGGACTTCTGAAATATGCGACTCCTGCCATTCAATGAGGGAAGGTCACAATGTCATCAAGGGGGCTGATGATGCGGCTGGTGCAACATTTACAGTCTCCTCGATCTCGGAATTACAGAGAATATTGGTGAATCATACCTGTGGAAGTTGTTTTGGGCCGAAGTTTTGGCATACATGACCTGAACAATCTTGTAACGTAATAGTGCATTTCCCAACCTTAGGTAGATTGGCCAGGACCTTGCAACACACCTTTCCTAGGGGTGATGTTCTTGTTCGACCCATCAGGTAAAGTTCTGGGTACTTATTTGATGCGTTTGGGGCATCCAATATCTCCCAGTGATATTCTCCCTTTGCTTTAGGTTGTTCTTTGGATGTTGTCCCTCAATGCTAGCTCGCACCACGCTGCACCTGTGATCCATGGATCCTTGTTGTTTCGACCTAGACCTACCAAACCGACCTAGACCCAGCTTCGGTGCGAAGAAAGGGTGTTGCGATGACACATCCGCCATGGCACTCTATTCGTGTGCCAGGGTGTTGTCGATGACGCTTGAACCGATGACAAACAAGAAGACCATTTAAGCTTGTCATCTTATTAATATTGGAATGTTCATGTGTTCCTTTATTGGAGTGTGCTGAAGATTCATGCATCCAAGAAGAGCTGAACACATACTGGATTGGCTGCAGAGGTCATCCAGGCAGCAGTTGTGCGGGGCGTCATGCGAGTGCTATTCTGGATTGAGAACGCCCTTCAAGTGACATGGAAAGGTTCAGGGCTCCTTGTCGCTACTGTTTGTTAACAATAACGCTGCCTGGATCAAGCCGTCGTTTCACGATTTTTCAGCCAGACTAAGACCTTGGCAGATGGGCAGATGAAGGATAACGGTCATTATCTTCAGCAGCTTTTGCTTGTGGATTTGTGTACTTTCCTTGTGGGTAAATCCACCTTAAAGCAAATCCAATTTCTTGTGCTTGAATTGAATCTAATGGAGAGTTGCACCCATGTTTTAGGCTGTTTTATGGCGCAGGTAGAAATTTACTCAAAACGTATTGTTCTACCGCATACGTCCGGCTTCTTCTTTGGCTGGATGCTGAGCTGTCTTAGCGCAGTTCTTTGTTTTCTTTAGAGACAGACAAAGCAAGGAGGTGCCATGCTAGGCCCATTTGGGAACAGATGACCAAGTAAAAAGGACACAAAGCAACCCCAGAAATCAACCCAAAGTTTCCACCTAAAAGATAAGGCCAAGGACCGTTTTGACCTAGTTCTTTCCAAGCTTCAGATGCACTACTTGCATGTAAGGGGTCTGAAGAAGACCCTCAGCACCCCACAATTGCTTAGATATCTGGCATGCTGGCATGGCCTGGAGGCATGCTTGCAGGAGTTGGATCTTGTACCGTCCAGGTCGTCGGGTTTACTAGTGGATACCAGTGGATACCCTGTCAAAACCCGCTGTCAATCAGCAACATGCATGCTGGGCTTTGGAACAAGGAGCACCAGTATGTTCCATGGATTTGGGAGAATAGCAGCATGGTTGGCCAGCGGAGTGTGTGGAGTCGTACCTCCTTCACGAAAGAGATCTATATCAAGCGTCACCCGCTGGCTCCTGCCAGAACCTCCGCGAGCTTCTAGCCCACTAGAACAAAGAGCTCGGTCCTCTCCAGGCGCGGATGGCATTGAGTGGCTGCAACAAGAGTTGGGCACTCTTCAGCGACTTCCTGGGCCACGAGGCGCGGCACGCGGCGTCGCGTGGAGACGGCGACGCCACGAGGCGCCACGGGGGACGGCGGGACGCCGCCTGGAGAAGGCGGGACGTGGTGGTGGACTGTTTGGCGCGGCTCCAAGAGGGTAGAGTGCTGCAGTTGCAGTCTAGTCTATAGTCATACTGTGTTGTGTTGTTTTCTTTGTTTGCTATTCTTCCCTCGTCCGGTGGTGGCAGAGCTTGGATTGTGGAACCGTTGACATTTGTTGGACATGAGGCGCAGTTGGATGCAACTCGATGCGTGTGGATTCAGACTTGGGCGTGAACCATTGGAGGTAATTCCATCAGTTGTGTGTTCATTTCATTTCGAGGACGAGTCATTGTTGTCATGGAACTGGTGTATCCTGGTTTACACATGTTGATACTTCTTGGCATATGTCACAACGACAACACACACAACCAGGACAGCCAACAAAAGGGAGTTGCACGTTTTGACACACTCACAGACAGAGAGGTCGACACAGATGAGGACCTGTAGAAGTCATCAACGGGAATAATTAATGCACTCTCCTGATCAGGGTTGCTGCAGCTGCAACTTGCTGCAATACGTCACTTGCCCAGGCCCACATCTAAAAGGTTTGAAATGTGTGAAATGCCGACCAAGACGCATAATTTATCCTCTAACAAATTGAAGCCAAGATGCCAGAAACTAATGCCAGGCATCTATTGAATTATTGGATCCATTGCATTTTATTCTGTGCGAACCTCTAAGAATTGAAGAGCAGGAGATGTGTGCACACCAGCAGACGAACGCAGATAGTTAGTTGCTTCGGCTTTGGTGGAGACTGTCCACTGCAAACGTATACCAAAGACTGTGACTTCAACAGACCATGAAACTCTCATTCACCTTTCCAAAAAGGACAAGCATGGGGGAAACCAAAGGGAAACAATCCAACAAAAGAGAACCGAACCACTAACCACACTCACCAGACCTATGGTTTCTACTTTAACTCCGAAGCCAAGACCGACCCGACCACACTCACCGTCCGAGCCGATCCAAGGCGCCCGAGGAGATCGAGGCCTTCTTCAGCGCCCAACGGCCTCCCGGCGCCGTGCGTGTCCTGGTGATGCGCCACGCCATGGGCGTGCACAACACCTACGCAGGAGAGCGGGGATCGGGACGGGCGCCGGAGGAACCGACGTCATGCGGTTGGAGGAGGAACCGATGCCTCTGGTGAGGTTGGATGGAGGGATGGCCCCTCAAAAGACATGTTGTCACCTTTTTGAGAGCTTGACCTTAAGAAGGAATTCCTCAAAAGAAAGTGTTTGAGACGTTTTGTTGAGAGCTAGACTTTCTCTCAATTCCTCCTTTTTTGTTCGTATACAGTCCGGTGTTCGTCTCTTCTCTCGCCCCAGCGGAATCGCTCGAGGCATCGGAAGCATCGTGAGCGAGGATGCGGAGATCAACGAGTGTGGCCAGGTGATGGTGGTTGGTGAGTGGTGGACGGTCGAATTGGGAGAGAAAGGCCACCAACCGAATACCGTATTTATATAGTTAATATATACTTTAAAAAAATCAACAAAAACAATAACTTAGAGTATGTATATCATAGATGATCATTTGTGCAGACAGATTACAACATATGTTACTTATCTTCGATTTGACGACATGTTGCATACCTTCACATGATCTCCCATGGCCATAAAGGAAACATGTTTTTCTTGAGGATTCAATCGTTACTTGCAGTGTCCCCGTGATTTGCTTGGGAAATGGTACCATTTCAAGGTCCACCATGTTTTATAGATTTTTATCTCATGATTGTACCCGCATACTAGTTACTAGTGACTAGTGTTCGCCGTGGGGAGGTTGAAGTATACTGGGTATACCGACGTTTCGTCGTTGACTTGGCTGGATGAACCGGACAACAATCTTACGTCTTCTCATTGGGGTTTGGGTCCATAACATAAGAAGCGAGGGTCCATTCTGATCACAATCCTTTGTGAAATCCTTAAGTTCAACAAACCTTCGTGCTGAAGTTATTCAATAGAGGAGCACTCGGTTGGTAAACGCGATCCTCCAAAACCTCTAGAGACATGATGGTACTGTGGGAGAATCAATGAGTTAAACATTGGATGGTTGAAATGTCACACCAAGGTGGAAGATTACACATCTTCTTTTTGGTTCGAAAGGGTGGATGGACCCGAAGCAGTGCAGAGACTTCTGGCAGTGACCGACCGGACCTCCCAGAGCTTGTTGGTCCTTGACAGCATAGTCCTTTGACCTTCTTCCTACAAGTCCCTTTCTAAAAGACCATTCAGTCACAGACCACCATTCTCTAAGTCCTTTCTTCCTACTGACATGGCTTATCGAATCAAACGTGGAGTGAGCGAATGCAAACCTCATAAGCAAATAGCGGATTCTGTTGCGGGGGAGATTCATCCAAAGAGATTCCCTGAAGGTGAACATGACTTTGGTTTGGTTACTTGTCAATGCAACGAATCCTGTTTTAGCATTTCACCACTGGTTCCTAGCTCGTCATGCCTAATCAGGCGCAGGCTGATGCAGTGGCGGAAAAGCTCAAAGAGGCAGGGTCGCCTTGACTACCAAAGGTGCTTGGGAGCAGAAGGCAAGGTTCAACCTGCATGGATACTCCCCCTTAGGTTCCACATATAGGCTCAAGTGCCCTCCCCACTCCCACAACCACCACAATTCAGTGGGTGGTGGGCGCAAGCAACAAATTTGTGTTGCTTGCGACACGTTGACCCCTTTGGGCGCGCAAGAAGCGCTTGTCACCTGGAGGCGGGGGTCTTCCACGCTCTGCATTTGGCGATCATCTCACCCTTCACCCGCGCCCTGCAGACGGCCCTCCGTGTGATTCCGCAGGCACCATTCCCGCGCAAAGCCGCGCGTTTGTGCGGGAACGCGCGCGGGAACGTTCGCGCGCGTGCGCCTAACTGAAGGTGCCAAGCAGGCCTTTGAGGCCTTACTGTAGGAGGTGTTCGTCAAGGCTTTGGGGTTCTTCCTAAATGTTGTAGATTGTTGTACGTACTTTTTGACATGCAATGAGACGGGACACATCAAATTTCTCAATATGCCGGAGATTGCCGGAGGCTTGTTTGTCGACAGTTTTTTCTTCCCAAGTCTGTCCTGCGTTGGAAGCGGCCTTGTTGGGACGAGTTTTAAATACATTAGGACTGATGATCTATGATATTCTATGATTATTTTTTCTGCTACGTTTTTGCTTGTTGCACTTGGCGTGAATGACCGAGTTTCTGCTTCTCCAGCCAAGCTCACCCGTTTCCTGAGGAGAATTTGGAGGGCTCCTTTGCTGCGGATGAGCACATCACACTTCCTTGACCACTCGTTCGCCGACCGCCGACCACGTGAAGGAAAGCGAAAGCTGAAACGATTGATGCACCGGTCGTGCCGAATCCCCGAAGCTCAAGGACGGTCTGTCCAAACGGAGACAAAGCGGTCTCTGACCTGGTCGTGCTGGTCCGCTGGTCACCTCGGTAAAGTACAGATATTGATATATTAATCCGATGGTACTAAACCGACTAAACTCTTGAAGAGCCTAAATAGATTAATAACATTTATTAATATAAGTATAACCCAGACACTCCATGGGACTGGCATATTTACATGGGAGTCCCATGGAGTGCTTGGGTCATATACCCACCTCCTTCACCGACGACTCTCAATTCGGTCGTCCTGACTCCCGTCGCCTCGGTGGTTCATGGCGACGAGTTCTTCATGGAGAAAGAGTTGTAGTCGGCCCACCAAAACGTTTAGTTGTTCCTGGGATCCCAGAAGTTTTGTTCTGTTACTATGAACTATATGCAGACTATGCAGTTCTATCCCTCATGGGGTTCCTGATCGTTTGCCCTCGTTTTGCTTAGCCTAAGAGGGTCGTTCGCTCGCTGAGGAAGCGCCGAAACGGCTAAGCTTCCAGCCATTGTGCCTGGCTTGGTGTCGTTGGGACCATGGGACCAGAAATGTTGGACAGGAGAGGTAACTGGTCAATTCCTCTCAGATTGACATGTTTGACCTCATGACATACTAGAGCTGGTCATACAAAAAAAAAAAACAAACAACACACTACACTAGAACACTAGTCAATCGACTCAATGAGGGTTTGGATGGGGGTTTGACATGTTCTTCGGAGCGTGTTTCGCTGGATTCATCCCAACCAACGGGCCGTTACTAGAGCTGGTCAGTCCCGAAGCAGAGCTCGGCAGATCGTTTGGGTTCCAAATCGAGACATCTTTCATCAGACCATTGCTTGGCCAAGTCTCACCACTTGGGAAAACTGAGGTAGTTAAGAATAGTTGAGACATATTAAGAGAGTTTCTGGTCATGACTGCACACAGGTGCACCCGCTGTGTGCGGAGCAGACTTTTATGCACTCCCATGTGGGGCGCGGCAACCGCGGCTCCACTGTGGAGGACGGGGGGTTGCTTCGCCGCGCACCTGACTTGCACATCAAGCAGAGGCACTCAGGGTTAAATCGGAATATTGTACAACAGGATTTCCATTTTTCAGGTCATTGCTTTGTTGATGTAGAGCAGGCAGTTTTAGTTTGACCTTCCACCCAGCAATTGCGGACTTCAACCGATCATGAGCAGTTCTTCTTTGCCTAGTTCTCAACCCTTTTTTCATGAACTCAACCTCGTCGCTTCGAATCTGATTCCACAGCTTCCAGACGAGCGTGTCCTGTGCTCTCAGCTTCGAATCACCTCAGGAGCTCTCCAGAAGTTCAGATTTCAGCGACTGGGCGATCACCAAATCGGGTGTTTCACCGCTAGTGGTCCGGGATTTGTGGAATTCTTAGGGACTTGGATGGTCTGGTGTGACTACCACAAGGGGAAAAGACATGGTTTGGTGTGGGTACTTGTTGTTGCGTGCATATACTGTATATATGAAATTTATATTGTAAAAAACATACACATAAACAAATTCACACTTTCGTTGCCATGCGGGAGACAAGGAATCGGAAGACCATCATGGTATCCAGCATTGATGTTTGGTGTTTTTTTTTGCCTTGGGATATACTACTTTAGAAACCTTTGCAAGAACACACCTCGCACCTGCCTCACTCACTTCCTTGGTTTCAAGGTGTCTTTGACTGGAAAGAAGTTGCTGCATGGATGCAACATTAAGTCTGGTGGTTTGGGGGCTCGGCTCCAAGTGAGGTTTGGTGATTGGTCCAGGAGGAAAGCAACGTAGAAAGGAGCTGTTCTTGAGGTAGATAGGTCAAATGCGGATGCTTGATATCCTGGGAATCCTGGGAGACCAACTGAGCCAACTGACTGGTGAAACGATGCCATCCAGCAACCCCTGCGTTTCATGAAGCAGACCTTGAAGGGATGCCATAAGGATCATGCAGGAAGCAACCATGCAACCATGTCAAGAATAGAACCTGGGTTTCCTTGATGTGAAATACTTTGCCTTCTCTAGGTCCCTGATCAGCACATTGAAAAACCACAGAGACAAACTCCTTGCGAAGCAACATACATCTCCCTTTCCTTTCCTTTTAGATCATTTTAGATCAACATTCGATCGTGTGGGATACTCCCCCTAGTCCACGGGACGCCGGATTCGATCGCTCATGCCATATAATACTGCGCAGGAAGGAGCCCGATCTGTATCAGTCACTTGTGCCAGTCACCTACACTTGGGTGAACAGAACCCAGTCTTCGAGATCAGACCATCCACCGCCGTACACTGAGGAGGCCTACTGCCAGAAGCGCCGTGTGAACGCTGGGAAATGGTGGCATCATGGACCTCACAGCGAGGAGCATCGCTCCGCGGAGCGAGCCGCGCCGGCGGCCGGCGCTGCCTGGGGTGGCGATGTAGCCTAAGAGGCACTTGAATGAAAAGGCGCACTTAACTGTTGGATTGTAGAGCAACCTTGTCTTCTGGCTGAATCTGTTCAGTTTCATGTTAGTGTTCAGGAGGGGGGGAAGGGCTTCCTCATTGCGTTGGAATGGGTTTGGTGCTTGGTGCCACATCAAGTGATCGATGAACCTAACTTATGCTCAGCTGTTCCTGGGAGAACCTCTCTTTGAACCCCAACGGATGGGCGGCCGTGCCAAACACTGCGAGGTATGCAGGAAATAGGATCAGTCTGTGTAAGATTGTTCTTGTTGAGATTGTTCTGTTATTTACTGCTCTTACTGTTCTTCCAACCCTGCAAGGTGTGTGTCGCACACCAGTGCAGGAGACTGAAAGCTCCTTTCAACGTCGAGCAGTGCGGCTCAAGAAGTGGCAGCTTGGGAGTGTGACATCATCACTACCGCGTCACGGGTGTCCTGCAAGTTTGGAACAATGTGACATCAGATGACATGACATGAGATGACTTAGTCATCCAGTGGTGTCTTCCAATGCAGTCATCCAATGCAGTCTTCTGTGGCCGGGAATTGGCACGAACACCCCGAACAATGCAGCGAACACCCCGACCTGCCCAGAAGAGACCCACCACAGCGTTCGATGTCCGCGCGATTCCGAGGCTCGGGAGCCTCCAAGATCACTGGGCTGTGCCACTGAATGTGTTGCTGGTTTGTCACGGCGGCTGCTAGACTGAGCCGGGAGTGGCAGTTGGGAGCTGCTTCGGTTTTGGCAGAGTTTTGGTTATGTTTTTGGTTAATTTGTGAACTTGGGTTTGAGATATCATGCTGCTTAGATCCACAGTCACTATAGTATACTATAGTGACTTCTACCCTTTGTGTAGAGAATGGGCTGAAGGAATCTTGGAACTTGAAGATCGAGTCATAGAGTCTAGAGCCTGCCATGGTTTCCTTCAGTCCGTGGACAAGAACGCGAAACCACACCCTTTGAGGCATCATGCAGGCGGCCTTCGACTACCAGCCGCACCCTCCGAACTGCGGCTTCCGCGTGTACGATCTGCAGCGGACAGGCGTTGCCACCCATGTGGCTCGTGGCCAGGCACTTCGCTGAGGGACAGAACTTTGTGGTGCACGGCGCACTTATAAACCAGGGAGATGTTTGTTTCAAGGGTTTGTTCTTCGCGGCAAGATGGTTAGTCAGCATCAATGATCTCAAGTGCAGGAAGCAGTTTCCCGTGACGATTCCACACAATGTTGGTGCAAAAACAGCAGCATTACCGAATACATGGATGATCCATAGGCCCTTGTCATGGCTTTTTTGGGACAACTTTGGATAATTGCAGACCCATGCCAAAGGTAATACTGTAATATGTCTATACTTAAATTAAAGAAAAGAAACAAACATACATGGTGAGAGAATATTGGTGATCCATCCCAGCACTTCGCTTCGGCAGGCAGTGGTGAGACCAGATCTCCTTGTCGATCCTGCTTTCGAAGTTCTGTCTGTGCGACGTTTGCCAGAGAAGGCTGTAGTTGTTTTTGCTGTGATTTCTGTGATGGTGGCACTGGGTGTGATTGTGATTGAAAGGTAGAATGGAGGAAAAACGTGACTGGTAGTGGTGTACTGCCCTGTTGCCCTTAGTTTCTTTCTTTGCAAAGGAGGAAACAAAAAACCATTGTTTGTTCCATAAGTTGGATGAATCCTCCAACAACTTCCGTCAGGAAACGAGGACAGATCCGCTGGCTTTTGAGGCCAATGGCAATACTGTCTTCAGAGTGGAAGTCCTTGTCGCCCAGCAAGAGTTCTTCTCAGACATCAGCGAGAATGTACCTGGTCGGTGACACAGAATAGAACTAATTAAGGAACCATCTACAGGAAACCCATCGTTTTCGGGGGTGGAAGCCATGAATTCCTGGATTCCTGTAGATTTTCCCTTAAACCAATCCTTTGATTGGGAGGGATGGTAAACAAAGATAGAGCCTAAGAAGTGTGTCAAAAATCCGTGATATGTCAACTCCCAGCGGGTCTCGCCATCTTCTCTCGTTGCTGTATTTCGAGAACGATTCCGTTTCAGGTGAAGACGAGGGTCGCATGGAGCACAGATGGGGAACCATGGTCGCACCCCTCCAACGAGATCCCCAAGACAGTCAGGCCGCGTGAGAGACGAGAAAACAATCAAACGCAGGTGACGATCCATCCCCGTAACCCATATCAAACCAAGCCAGATCAAATCGAGTTCCAATTTGTTCTGATTGGTGAGTGTTCACAAGACCAGGCATATGGCATATTGTCTTCAAGGTGTGGTTCAATGATGTTTAAAATCAAAGGACCGGAAGCAAAAGAACAACAGAGGCTGACACTGTATTTGACATTCTGGTGCTTTCTATGCTGGCAGGACTGTATGATCATTTGGAGCACGTAGGCACAGCACGTAGGCACCAGTGACCCCGTTTCTTCGGTCAAAGTGAGCCTGTGAGGAATTTGGATCGAAGTGCGAGAGCCATGTGTTTGAGGGGATGACTTCCATTTCAACAGGTCGAGGGATTCGCCCGCTTGTTGGCCTTTCCTCGCTGAGGTCTTGCGGGAACGCTTGCACGACCCTGTGAAGGAAGGCCTGAGCCCTGAGCTCTATGCGCCTGAGCGAGAATGCACTCGGTCGTCGGTCCCGGGGACAGTGCTTTACCTCGAGGCAAAGCGAGCAGGTCAGGAGACCTTGTTTCTGATTTATCGTTCGATTCCTCTAGGGCTCAGAGGCGACAGCAGTCCAGACTTTGTGGTGCAAAGTCAAGTGTGTGTGTGTGTGTCTTTGTCAGGGACGGGGGCACGTGGGGCTGTGCCGCCTGCTGTGGCCCAGCAGATGTTTCACTGGTCGTGGGAATCCTATCCTTGTGAAGCAGAAAGTATAGCATGTCAAGTTCATACCTTGAGTAGTACCAAGATATTGCCAATATATCAATGAATGGTCCTCAAACACAAGGACATATCCTTTTTGTGGAATGTTCCTTTGTTGTACCAGTTCTTACACCAGTAGCTGATGCTCACCTCATCTCATACTGACAGCTTCAGGCCTTAAATGCAACTTGGAGGATGAGGATCAGATTCAACTTGGAGGATCATAAAGGGGGTTCTAATTATGCTGGCCTGGTCATTCTTGTGAAGAGGTCCTGCACACTGAATCCCGCCAAAGGTCAGCTTTTCCAATGCATCAACAATTTGGGTGTGTGTTGACATAGGGGGACCTCAACCACTGTTTTTTGGTCTATTGTCCTCCTTCCAGCAGGTCGAACTGGGGGGTCTTCCTAGTATTCAAGTACACAGCGTGTTACATACTCATCTCTAAGAATAGCATCACATCCTCAGAAGAGAAGTCTCCATTACATCCTCATACACATTGTGTTTCACGTGTTTCACAGCGTGTTGCATCAAATCATCGTCTCCATTCGTGCTTCTTGTTACTACTAGTAAGGCACCTGTTACTACTAGCGTGGCACCTGTTACTACTAGCGTGGCATTCCTGCAAAGGAGAAGTATGGGCTCAGTGGGCTTTTCCCCAGCTGGTGGTCTTGGCTGAACCGAGCGCGTGCCGATCTCTCCATCTACATCCAGGAGCGCTGGACCGACTGAACTGTCAACCTTTACCATTTACTTGGGATGATTGAACCTATTGACTAATGTTTTTTCAATTGAGCTGAAACCACCAACCAGCCATGAATTGCAATTTGTTATGTCTCACCTTAGGCATCGTTGACTGCGGACTGACGATCAATCCATGTTTTTCTTGAGGGGCAAGGACAGGGAAACTGAAGCATGGCAAATGCCACGAACTAGACAATTATAGTCCCTTCTTAGGTCAATTTTCCGATCCAATGACCAGTGGTGTTGTTTCTTCCAAAGTGTGATTATCGTTGAGGACTACCTGGAACAATTGGCCTTAGCCATGGGCGCCTGGGCTGGTTCGCTCAAAAGCCCAATGACTTGGTCAAGTTGCATTTAGCAACTGATTCACTGGATCAAAAGATCGTTATAGTAACAGGTGCCTTGCTAGTAGTAACAAGAAGCTATTAGAAACAAGTGCCACGCTAGTAGTAACAGGTGCCTTACTAGTAGTAACAAGAAGCTATTAGTATGTATATACACACGTTAGTTCTACCTTTACAAGTTCTTGGCTTGGTTTCCACACACCCGTTTGAAGTTAGACTGACTGATTGGCCAGAACGGATTGGGTTCAGAAACCAGCGCAAAAAGAAAACAATTGTTGGTACGCTGATTGTTTCCTCATGTTTCCTCTTGCTTGCAGAGGGTCGCAGTGGGTTGACTGGGTTAGCCGGAGTGGGTCGCTGTTATGATGTGCCCCATGACTTGTGACATATCATTGCTTGTTCTTTTCACGTGTTTTCTTCAGTTGTGTTGGCGATGTAGCTCTTATAGTCTTAAGTTAAAGTCATCCATGTTGCTCTCCCGAAATGATCTTGGGCTCCTCAGATCATCGCATTTGCCATTGGTTGCAGTCTGCAGAATTTTCTAGACAATGGCAAATTACTCAATAATGGGTTCCTTGTTTTGCCCCCAGGTGACGATGGCTTCCCGCCAACCTTGGCGGAATTGGTGAACCAGCTGTTGCTTCAGGCCTGATCATATTTCTCCCTGTGCTGCTGGCAAGGAGAAGTCATTGTGCCGGAGTTTGCAAGAGACCAAAGTTTGGAAAGATGTGGGAGTGGATCTAAAATGATCTAAAGGGACGTGAGTGTAAGGTTGTTTTATATAAAACAACCTTCTAGATGCTGTCCAAACCATCCGGAAGAATCTGTGATGAGGTTTGCAAAAGTATGTGTTTAGCGAAAAAGATATCGAAGATGATTATGTTATGTCATTATCATGTTATACATAGTATAGTCATGACTATAGACATCCAAAGTAATCTTCCGGCTCTGAATGTCCCCACGGTCACTGGCTAACAAACTGAAGATGACTGAAGCGCCGACTTTTTCTCACGTGGTTGTGACAGTAAAGGATTCACCGATTCCTTTCCCCACCACTGTCACACAGACTAACAAATTGAGAACTCAACTTGTCCTTGCGCCGCCCTCACAGTGCATATAGGATTGTCCAATTCCCTTTTCCCACTGTCACTGACACACATTCTGCAACTGTCCTGTATCACCCTTGGGGCAACACGCTCAAAGTCGGGAATTTTCAGTGACCCTTTCATGGGTTGCTCTTTGTAAGAAACCTGTTTTCCAGGATAGATTGTTTTGCCGTGGCCTTGACCTTTGCAAGACAAACCATCAAACCATATATATATATAACTGTGGGTTTGGAAAGATATGTGTTGCTTCCTCAAACCCCCAAGCCCTAATCCCTGGTAGGTGGACCATGTCTCGTAGTAGGTGGACGGCGAGTCAGGAACCCTGTTCGGTGGGAAAAAGCAGGGTCTTTTGGTGCCATTACCCATATAGGGGATAACGAATCAATGGCATGAGGAGGGAGCCTATATATGAGTAAACCAACCCTCCATTTCCATCTACCGGTGCAAAGGCAAAAATGCCGTCCACTTGTTATCCCCTATAGCCTATAGCCATATTGTTTGCTTCCTCCATGCCCCGTTCGAGTCACCGTTCGAGCCTACTTCGCCAGGGCCACTTGGGCCAGGAGGAGCCGCCGCGAAAGTGGCGAAGGGCACCAGAAGTGGCCGGGTCGGAAGAGGTACAGAACGGCAAGGCTCAAATGACCAAAGCCACAATCATGTTGATCACTTCATTGTGGTCTGGAGGGTTTGGCTTGAAGTTCTTCACTTCTTGTGATTTGGTAACTTTGATTTTTTTTTTCAGATATGGAAAATCCTGAGATGTGATGTGTGGGCATCAACCATTTTTCTGTGGCCATATTCCTCTTTCTGCCGTGTCGCAACCTTCACAGATTGCAAGAATAGCAGTGAGAAGGAGCTTGGCAGGGAGCGATCCTTCCATGAGGTGCACAGAGGGTCAGCACACCGGCGAAGTGGCAGGTCCCATTTCAAGGCTTCCATGCGCGGATTTAGGAACCAGGAACACTCATTGCACATGGAACGCAGAAAGACGACGCTTCTCCTAAATGGGGGCAGTTGAGGTTCCCAGTGCGTCTCACGCTCGGTTCTTCTTGCATAACCCTCTTAGCAAGTGAAGGCGATGGACTGTGGACGGTGCCCCGGTAGAATCCTCCGCAACTGGGGTTTGCACTTTCCACTGACATTAGCTGTCCATTGAGGTAAGGTGGCAGAGTGAGTGACTTCAAACCGGGATTTGGCAAAGGCCCTTCTGCCCTGAAACTACCCAACACATATAATTGAAACCTTGAAAATGCACCCCCTAAAACCAAAGGAACTGATTCTGCGAAGCAGTATTAAATCTTCATGATGGTTCATGTGATCGTTTTGCGGGGGCGTCATCGTTCGTGCCGAGATCCCTGCTCCCAGCACCAATTGCACCAATCGCGAGGAGCAGAGGGAGGGAGAAGATGGGGAAGATGCTGAAGGCATGTGCAAGATGAGCTGAAGACTGAGTCAGTTCACTTCCCATGAGCAGTGGAAGGGCAGAGATTGGCTTGTTCTACCTTCCGCCATGCTAAGAATGCATCCCGCTCTCCAATTGTTGCATGTTGCACATCTACTGGACCCCAATGATCTATGTTATGACATGGAGATATGAGATATTTATTTGATCAGCGGGTCTTTCCTCAGCTCTTTCCAAGAGAATGTTATGTTTTTTTGTGTGTGTGTTTCCAGAAGTCGTTTCGCATGACTTCAGTGGGAGAGATCACCAAAAAGAGGAACCTTTCTCGATATGATGTTGTCCTTTCGAACGTCCACGAACACAGCGAACTTTCGCGTGCTTGTACCATGTTGCATTAAACAAATTGTTGAGTCTCCTTCGGGCCCATTCGATGCTCAGCCACGCCCGCGGGAAATGGCTGTCCTACTGTATTGAGCCGCTCATTGGCTTGTTTGGCGAACAGATGAAACATCGCTGTGCGGAGAACTTGGGTTGACCCACCAAGAATGATTAGCATTTCAGTACCATCCTGAAGAGTGTACCATGTGGAATTTGCATCCATCTCCGATGGGATCAACGTGTTCTTAAGATTCTAAGTTCGCAGTCTCCTTATAAGTACAATCATTGTCTCAGCTCGGGAATCTGCCCTTGGGATTCAGAAGTTCTGCATCAGTCCATGTCCAAGCAAATTGATTGCATTGTTTCTTTCGTTGTCGAAAGTTCCTCCTCTTTTGAACCCTGTTTGAAGGGTTCGTGATTTTTCGTGAAAAGGGTCCCCTGCACAGTCTCATACGACTTGCCAGCTACCACGAGCCACAAAGAGTGTTTTTGTGCATGAAAAACACCAAGGTGATTGCCAAGCGCTACACCCGGAACATTCATTGTGAGACCAATCTCAGTTGCCCAACACAACAACTAAGGGTTTCCAGGTTGTTGAAACGGCACCAATACAGCTGGCTTGTGGTCAGGGTATGGAAAGGTGCAGGAGCATTCCATGCCCAGAATATGTGTGTTGGCTGCTGGGTTGTAGCTCATGACAACAAACATGAAAGAAGAAACGCAAAGCAACTCCAGGCAGTGTTGAGCTGCCTCCTCTCCCACAGCCTTGAATGTCACCTTGAATGTCACAAATCTTACAGAGCAACGGAGTCCAACAACTCCGACATGAGTCACACAGTCCTCCCAGAAACTGCACGTGCGAGTCCACCCAGCCTAGCTCCTCCCAATCCAATCCCGGCACTTTGAGCGTCTTTAGGCTGGAGTTTTGCTCACGAATCGTGGCTGTTTCGTCAGTGGGATGGCCACGACCCATGGATGAGACGGTGTCACTATGACCGGGTGCCGCTCAACGAGCAAGAACACGAAGTCGAGGACTCTGGGATCGTTGGAGAGCCGACTCTCAGGATGGATTCCAAGGGGACAGAAGATTGGTGTACGAACACACTAGATCACACTAGTCGGTTTAGAGAGTTTACTATTTGAAAAGAAAATGATGTTTATATAATATGTTATTATCACGGCCCCGATTGGCATCCATTACACCCATGCTGCCATGGCAGCAAGCAAGCCACCGGGAATCCAACCTGTTAGCACGGGGAAGGATATGGACGTATGGTCTTTGCAGAGGATCCGAAAACAGCCGAATGAGCCCTGAGGACAGTGAAATCATGCTTGTGGAATTCCAAATACATCGAACTCAGGGTGATCCTGGCACGGTCCTGTGTGGATGTATTGTGGGGGTGAGGAATCAAAGAGACTTTGTTCCTGGAAGGTTCCTGGAAGGATCAAGACTTCAAGAAAAAGGACCAACGGTCCGTTCGGAGTCTTGCCTTTGACATGAATTCCTTTTCGACCCACTCGGGGCATTCGCGACAGCAACGAAGATGTTTAAGATCTCCGACCGGACCGTGCTGCTCAAGGAGGAGCCATGTCAGTTGCCGAGACGTTGCCGTGGCCTGGTTCTGAGTCTTCTCGTGGGTGCACTCTGCTGGATCCTGGTGACGAGACTCCCAGAGGATGAGACTTGGCTGACGAGACTCCCACCAGAGGACCAGTACATGTAAGTACTCTCCCTAGGAACTTTACTGGAAGACTATTCGTATTCCAGTTTTGGGCTTCCTGGGTTTCCTGGACTTGGAGTTTCCCAGTTGGTTGGAATTGTTGTCCATTTTGGCCCACACACTGCGACCACAAGCCCTCGGAACCATCTCGGAACCATTGGTCCACCGTTTTGGCGGAAAGGCAGTTCTACAGCTCCAGGTCTGGATGCTACCCATGGGTATTGCTAAGTTAGGCTTTCCATGGCGCAAAAACAGATGCTGTACCCCCAAAATGAGTTCGCAAGAACGGTTCGAACTCAAGGTCTTTCAACGCATTTCATGCTACAAAAGTCATTTCCAACGCTACGAGACCGTCAGAATGATCTTCACCTCCGTGTCGCATAGTTTGTTGGTGCGGTGTCTAACCGAGATGACAAGTCACATGCGATGGTGTCTACTTCCCAGTGATGGCTGTCAGCCACCATGTCACTGACCGGTGTAGCTATTCAACTGACAGGAGTTGGCTTGAGCTCCGATGGTGCGCGTTTTGGAAATCACTGCAAGGTATAGAGTGTAAGATTACGGTCCAGTGTATGTATGTTTTGGTGCCTGACACCCGCAATAGAAGTCAGAAAAATATCGCATCTTGAACTCTATGTATCTTCCGACATTAGGTTGTAGAGCATTACTTGGGCATGCACGTGTGTAAGAAGTGAAATACAGCGATGGATGGATCTTGTATATCACTATCACTGGTTTGTGCTTGGTACTGTATTAACGATGGCCTCAGGAATACTATTAGCATGTGACAGTGCATTTGACGAGAGGTGACGGAAAAGTGTTAGAGATGGTCTTTGATCAGAACAAAGCTGCAAATGTTTGTTGATCCAACAGGCATTGCCTGGGACTGGCTGACAATAACATCCCATGCAATCCGCACGAGTTGGCTTCTGGATGCAAACGCTTACTTTTGAAGCTTCCGCCTCACAGCAGATTGCACAGCAACCATGACAACTCCTAACTCAGGCCAAGCAAAAATAGATAGTATAGACGATAAAAGATTCTTGAATATGATTCAACAACAAACTCAGTAAAGACACATGTCAAGGGCGGTCCAAACCGACCACTAGACACTCATGCGACCGGAGTCAAGCAGCATGAGGTGCTTGTTGCCCCTCGCAGCAACCTGAACCACGTCGAGTTTGTGTCGGCTGCGGACAATTCAGATCCTCCAGACACCGAGGAGGCGTGGAACCATGTCATGGGGCTAGTCCAAAGCCAAGACCCCTCAAATCCATGCTGTTCATTTTTTGTTGGTCAAGCATGAGGGTTCAACAGCATCCCATGCAATCCGCACGAGTTGGCTTCTGGGTGTGCAAAGGCTTACTTTGAAGCTTCCGTCTCACAGCAGATTACACAAAAACCATGACGAGACGATAAACATCGATAAACTATTCTTGAATATGATTCAACAACAAACTCAGTAAAAAACACATGTCAAAGGCGGTCCAAACCGACCACTAGACACTCATGCGACCGGAGTCAAGCAGCATGAGGTGCTTGTTGCCCCTCGCAGCAACCTGAACCACGTCGAGTTTGTGTCGGCTGTGGACAATTCAGATCCTCCAGATACCGAGGAGGCGTGGAACCATGCATGGGGCTAGTCCAAAGCCAAGACCCCTCAAATCCATGCTGTTCATGTTTGTGAGTCGGATGTGAAAGCATGGCTCATGTGCTTGAGGAATATTATTCTCGCTCAGCCTTGTAGTAGCATCAGCTGGGACCAGAGTGAGACGCGTTGTGTGGCTTTGCTCCTTCAAAGATGCAAAAGTGGCACCCAACCGGATATGGCGATCTCCTGAAAAGGGAGATGTCGATTGATTGGGTTTGGACGAAAAGGGAGTCCAGCGATCAGGGCACATCAACTCATCCAACCGACCGAATCACTGGACCATCTTTGACCCAAGCTCGTCAAAGAAGGACACATTGTTCAGGTGCGAAGCCTATATAGCATGCGCCCCGTGAAAACGGGGGTCACGTCGTTCACTATGGGCCTTTCAGCCTCGGGTCAGCAGTCCACTCGTCAGTCCGTCCACTCGATCAGCAGTGGATCGAAGGCACCAAATCGGCATGCAATCATTGACGGCGAGGTTTGTGCTGTTTGCTTCGCCAACTCAGCGAGAAGCGTTGAGATCCTGATGTGCACTCCTTAAGCAGTCATCAATCATATCAGTTCAGCTTCAGGAACGTGAGATACAATCTTATACAGTGTTCTACAGAACAGCTATGTCAGCCCTTTTCTTTGAGGTTGGAAGCCATCGCTCTTAGGTTGGAGGCCATCGCTTTTAGGTTGGAGGCCACCGCTCTTAGGTTGGAGGTCATCGCTATTAGGGGGGAACAAATGGGCAAAACCCATCCCACAGATCCGGACCTTTTTCTGGGTCAATAGATCCTCCCAACACGTTCGTTCGGACGAGTTGGCTGGTTTCGACGAGGTCACACCACGCGGTGGTTGGTCTGAATCAGTCCCCTTTGAAGCAAGCGCAAACTGGCGAATTCATCCATACACCATGATGCGTGCCTGCTCACAAACAAGGTCCGCAGGCATGTGCCATGCCAGTGAAGAGAATCACAAGTCGCAAAGCGCTCAGCAAAATGATGCAAAATGGAAAGCCTCAGTGGTGGGATGGAAAAAAGCGAGTGCCACCATTGTTGGAGTGAGGTTGAAGGATGGACCACTGTGGAGACCAATTGTGTGGCAAATGGTGATGTAGACAATGATGCTTTGGCAGTCCTTTTGGAGCCTGGCAGTAGCAGAAACTGGAGCGAGAAACTGTCAAGCTTCCCAATGTGAAGGTAAAAAAGAATGTGCCTTCCCAAATGGTACATAGCAATTTTTGATCCGCCAGATCACTTGTAGAGGAGTGAGTGACATGAAATCACCTGGTCACTTCATTGCTGGCAAATCAAGGTGAGTGTGTCAGTGTATTTTAATAGAGAGACAGGCAATCATTGGGCTTTTGGTCTAATTGGTGTCCTTCTTCCCTGGGGTCTTTGGGGGTCTCCCTATTTCAATACACACTCAAATCAAGTTATCCCATGTGATGTCGTTTGCACAGAAGCCCCATGTGCAGGACAGGGGTGACGTCATATGACATATGTATATAATTTGCTCAGCATGTCAAATCATTTGACCGATGCCGTGCTTCTGGATGTCTAAAGCACACTGTGAATGTACCTCAAGAACCAAAAAGGGGCACCAATGAACTACCCTACCAGTACTGTACTACAGCTTGTGGGACTTGACAGCTATTGCAAAATCATGCAAAATCCAGGTCTCTCGAGGTATTCCTTTCTCAAAAGATGTCAAAAGCCTTCTAGAGTGCTGAGGTGAGGCGTAAGACGACGAAGGAATCTCAGGATGCTGATCCCAACAGGAAGAGGTTCATATTGAAAGTCATCCTCACAGGGTCTTTTTGGTATATATATACATATATTTTGTGTTTTCCCTGATGTGTTTTTTGTTTCTAGTAGCAATGGCCTCCACCCTACAGTGGCAATGGCCTCCAACCGACTAGCGATGGCCTCCAACCTAATATATGAATATATAGAGATATAGATATACATGAGTCAAATAGTGCCTAGAAGGACTCCATAGAAACTATACAGGCTGCAAACACAGGCAGCTTCTTTGTGGCAGGGAAATCTGCAAAGTCTTGAGGGTTTGCGCATGATTTTGGACGTTGCTTGCAGACTTTTTGGAAGATTTCAAGGACTTAGAGATTAGTGTATATATATATATAGATATTATAGCTGTTTGTTGCCAAAAACCGATAAGTGGATTTCCTTTCGTGGAACCTCTTTGCTTAATGCATAACCCATTGGTCTAAACATGTCTAAACAGAGCTTCCAGTGCATATTTTGATCTCCCCCACGGTTTTCCTTTTGGACTCCAGGTACCAAAAAGATCACTCCAATCTTCACCGCATGCGACCCGGAAGTGGATGAGATGTTCCTCACGAAATGACCTATACCATCCACCATCATCCACATGGGACACAACCTTTTCCATTTGTATTTTGTTTGATGCTGCGCACGTTGAACCGCAGGGGTGCCCGGGTGAGTGCAACCTTGCTGTGCCTTGTCGCGACGACCTGCTACGAGACAATACGGATCTGTTCTTCTGGAAAGTCGCTCGGCCAGACTGTGCGAGTTGGGAGCCTCCCAGATGGCTTGGGAGCCGCAGGGGGGCTGGATATTTATCCAACCCTCCAACATATTTGTTCAACCCCAACCTTTTTTTTCAACCCTCCAAGACGCTTTTTCAACCCTGGGTTGGAAAAAATGTAACCCCTACTAAATCAACCCATGGTCCTTATATTCCAACCTTTTTTTTTCACTTCAGTTGCATTCTAGTTTTTTGGGTGTGCACAGTGTTGGAAGATCTTTGTTGGTTGTTTTCCTGGCGGTTGAAGATCCGCTGCACGAAGTCATAGGGTCTGAAAAGCATCCGTCAAAATCAAAAGCAAAAGCCCTGGACCTATTTATATACAGTGTTTTTGACTATATTACCGTTCATGCATGCTTCTGTTGGAAAAACTTCCTTATGCGCATTCCATACAATACGGGTGTGTATTGAAAAAGAGATGCCTCCCAGAGACCTTTGATAAGAGCAAACGTCGTTTTAAACCATTGGTATCGGGCTCGAGTCTTCCAGATGCACGCCAGACCGTCTTCACACAGGTCTCTGAACTGGAAACATGTTCGGAAGGGGTCAGGGGTCGACAGGTACTTCAAAGTACCTATCAGACAAATTGGTTTCTTCTTGGATTCGAGCCAACCGGTCAATGGGTTCCCCTCAAGCCAACCGGTTCTCTATTCGCCTCAGTTGCCGGACAGCCCGGGCTGCGCAGAGTGTGTGTCGGTGAACCTGAAGTCCCTTCCGAACCAGACGCTTTGGCGAGAGCAGTCGGGCCGAAAGGTTGTTGTGGAAGTGTTTTCAAGACTGCCTTGAGAAGATGCTCCTAGTTCATGGCTCAAGCCTAAGTGCACTTCCTTCATAAGAGTATCATAAACAAAGATGCACTTGTTTTCAGGAAACACCCTGGGGTTGCGAATGAAAGAGCACCCAGATGCTCTTTCTAGGGTCCACATAGTCCACATCTCCAAGTCAGCATGAAGTGGATGAGGGAGAGGTGGAATGTTAGCCCTTTGGATTGGACTGAAGATTTAGTAACAGCGGTATGAGATTCATCAGTGATCTCAGGCCGTTTGAAATTTGCTGTGTCCAATCGGGGGAAAGAAGAGTTCAAGAGACCGCGTATAAGGGGGAGCAAGCATAGCAGCCACTGTATAGCAAGCAACCAACAAAACAACCAACCGTTTCAACCCCTTGAAGGCTGTATGTTTGAAGACTAATCCTAGTTGATAGATCATACACCCGAGGATTTTCGTCGATCGTGACCGGAATCGACCTACCTACCTCTCTGTTTGATTGAAGCTCCGACGTCAGAAGCTGAAAGTCCTGGCAGGAGTATGAGCATGTACCCGTTTGAGCTTACTGCATATGATAAATTTATACCAATTTTACTAGATCTCCCTTCTTCAAGCTAAGTGCTACACACCCAGTTCACTTCGTCAACTCTTGCCTGAGTCCGGACTTCAAACTCCGCTTCCGCGTGAAAGTCCTGGCACCAGGTGGGGAGGGATGCCTTTTCATTGCTGTTGGTTTGGCAGATTGCATGATGATTCCAGGAGTTCCCACTATGCCCAAGTCCCATCAGTTCCAAAACATGTGGTTTTCACATGTCTTCACTCCTAATGAGTAAATAATGGACACCCTACCCTCCAAGTTCGGCATCCCTTTGAAACGTCTTGGATTGTGGGTTTCTGCACGTTCTTTGCAGCTTCTTTTCGGTACCTCGCGTTGGAGCCACTCCGCAGATCGAGCAGTAAAGCTGACATTCGCTCCTGGCACGGCATTTCACAGGGACTTTGCCTATGTCCTAAGCAGTCTGGAGCTGAGCATGACACCCAGACACTCCATGTAATTATGGAGCAGTGTATGGAGCATCAGCAATATGTATATTTTAGTATTTTTTTGCATATTTATATTTTGTTACATAAGAGGGTGGCTTGAGGGGTCAGTGTAGGACAATATAACAATATTGTTCCATGCACGGAGTGTTTGGGTGTATGAAGGGGTGGCGTTGATTGTTTTTGGGTGACTAACTATTGGCTGGCCACACCTGCACGATCCGCGTGGCTGCTCGACAGATATCATCCAACTGATCGATTAGGCAACTGACCACTGACCGCAAACTTTGAATTATAGGCAATGGTCAATGCTGGAAACATAAACCGATCAGAGACGGCCTCTAGCGGCCGGAGCCAAGGCTCTTGGCTCCGGAGAGGAAACGTGTCTAGCAGTTTCCATGGTGGCACTTGCTTCCCCCCACAGCAGCCACATCAACACGGTGGATCGACAGCCACATCAACTCTGGACAGCTGGACAGCGGCGCTGTCCTGTCGTTTCAATTGGACCGACCTTTCCTATCCAGGAGTGTTCCTGTGGAGATGAGCTCAAAACCCATCAGAACTTAACTTCCAACTAAACATGAACCCTTTATCTTCCAAGTGGCGAAAGGGAGTGAGTATGACTCTTGGGTGAACTCTTGCTCATCGAAACAGAGCTCGGTGATGTCCGGGAATTCATCCCAATCATAGGGAGACCGGCAGGCCATTATTGATCTTGGACGGACTGATATGGACAGACCAGGCTTCTTTCATTGCTTTCACTGAGATCCTGCAAAGCCTGGCGAAGAATTCTTTGACTTTGTGCTCTTGCCTGGAGACAAGGCTCGTTTCTTCTTTCCCAGCTAGAATTAAACGTACTTGTTTATCGGGGAAATGGCCGGCCGAGGGGTTTCAGCATGGCCAGTGAAACAACCGGAGTTCTCAGGAAATGTGAGGGATAGTATATTAGTATATAAAAACATGTTTGAGGCAAGAGGCCCTTGGATGGCTAAAAAAGGGTATGTTGCCTGGCTGCCTGGGCTGGTTTCTTATTTTTGATCTTTTCGGAGTAGAAGACAGAAGGTCAAGGCTTGCGTGTTTTGTTTTTGTTTCTCCACTATGTGTGGCAGCTTTATATGTTTATAAACTCGCGCAGATTTTTCTGCAATAACATTTGTCAGCATCCATTTTCGTTGCGTGAGAACTGACATGGGCACACAGTTGTTGGCATCGGAACCAGCATGAAATCCTTTATACGAATTTCAGCCATCAAGGATCATGAAAGAGTTTGTGGGTTCGATGTACATCAATGTACCCTCTTACTCACTCACATGGGTTCATGGATAGATGTGGTTTCACCACTTCCATGTCTTTAACGAGTCGGTGTTTGGGACTTGACGTGGTCGTGGGTTTTTTGACGTTTTCGACGTCTTTCTGTCGTTGTGAACTTCTCACCGGATGAGGTCGGTGTTCGGGATCAGGTTCGGGTTCGGAAGCCGTTGTCGTTTCAGCCGAACACAAACCAAAACGGACAAAAGTCCGCCAAGGTTTAATTGCCAAACGTTATAGAAATACCGCTTCGTGACCAATTCCATCGCTGTGATTGGCCGTGTTCGATCGCGCAGGTGAGCCAGGTGAGAGCCTTTAGCAAGAAGCTACCGCTGGGCAGCCCTGACCCTGCCACCTTTTCCTTGAAGATGCTCAGCATGCATCAGTGGTACAGGAAAACGGTAGAGGGCCCTACCAAACAGCGGAGACGTTTGGACAGATCGACAATCGATGGGCTTCTTTGACATTTCCATAAGAGATGGACTGCTACAACCTAGGTTGTAGCCGGATTCATGCCATTTCATGTCATTTGAACAAGCGGTCGTCTTCTTTTTGTTTAAGGCTATGGCGTAGAACAATTGCATAGAGATACCTTAAATGATCCTTGATGTATTTTTCAACCAACTCTTCGATGCTTGCCACGTAGCCAACCTGGAAAATCAGACAACCACCGGTGGCCGGGTCCCGGAGCGGAAGGGACGGAAGGGACGGAAGGGACTCTTCGTGTTTCGATGGTTTGATGTGCAGACGCAACTGCAGACGCACACTGCAGACGTACTGAGGATCAAAGACCGGAACTTCCCAGATGACAACTTGCTTCTTGTCAATGAAAGGAGTGAGCAGGTTTTTAGGCGAGGGGAGTGGGTGTTCTCTGGCCGCGTGTGATGTGGTTCCGTGTGTGTAAGAAGCTCCACAAAGTTATAATTGGCTGTTATATACACAGTAGCTGAAGTTTTGTGCAAAGGAGGCCTAGTAGGAGAGGGGATGAGAGGCATGTGGAGTAAACCCCAAAACTTCAGTGGACGATTCTGTTTCTCCATCAGAACCTGCTATGGTACTTGGACCCTTGGGTAGCCTGGCCTTGAATTCCAGGATACAACAGGACGACGTTTTTCGCACGTCGTCCTGTCGCCCCACGTTGCTGTGGTTTTTCATGTCCGTCTTGACCGGCGAAGGCCTTCCCGGGCGTCTCAAGTCCCTGTAGGCGTAAGCGAGCTTAGTTGACGGTCAGCTTGGGGCGTTGAAGAACACCAGCCGCAACTGTGTGGTTTTTGTTTCTCTCCTGAAGAACGACCGGGAAAGACCAGTCTTGGAGCTTGCTGGTGCTTTTTGTTAAAGCTCTCAAGAGAACGTGGAACGTTTCAACAACGTTGGAATTCAACGTGCTTCACGGTTTCATGTTTCGATTCCAGATGTTCCAGGCCTGCTCGGGGTTCCGGGTGTCCAACGACCAGCTGTACAGAGAGTCTTCCACCGAGCGACCTTTGCTGACGGTGTTCTCAAAACGAGGTCTTATCGGAGCAAGGACGCTACTAGGGGCTCCTGGCCTTACTACTAGGAGCAAGGACGCTACTAGTTTGACAAAAAGATGTGACAGATTTGCCAATGCCTGGATCCCTTGCTTTTGAACGTCCCGAAGTGATGGTGCATAACTCAAACTAGTACCCAACATAAACATCTCGAAATATCTCAAACTGTGTTTTTTCAAATTCAACTGGCCCCAATACAAAGCAAGGCCTCCCCATCCAAAAGTGTCTCGGGTATCGCTTCTTCCACTCGCAGGTGTCTCGACCTGCGGGAACAAACACCGTCGAACAGCCTTACCGGTCAGAACTCGCGTGTTTGTTTGAGTGGAATTGAGTACTATTAGGGTGGAGGCCACCACTACAAGTAACAAGGACGCTACTAGGGGGAGGCCATCGCTATTAGGGTGGAGGCCACCACTAGTAACAAGAAGCTACTATGGGGCCTAGGGTGGAGGCCACTAGGAGCAAGGACGCTATTACCAGGTCGGAAAAGTGAACCTTCGGACTCCAGATCGACAATCGAAAAGAAAGACACAAACACAATGGGATGATGGAGGTTCACTTGGTCAGGCAAAATGGTTGTCCTTCCTTCCCATTTGTGATCCACTGGGAGACTGTAGTTCATCCGGCCAAATCAAAACGCATACATAAATACATACTATAGTATTTGTTGTATTCTGCTGCAGTTGACTTCATCGCGTTTGTATGGTTCATGCCGTCATAGACAGACCTGACCTACCCTCTAACCCTAAATTTGAGCCACAGAATCATGTCACATCAGTGCTTCAAGATGCTTAGGTTCCCAAGATGTTGCGTTCTGGTTCGATTTCGCCCAGCTTTGTTCATTGAGGCTACAGGTCAATGATGCGACCAAGGATGTGATTTTTGAAGTCACTTTGTGCCTGGTCTGGCGAAAGTGTGTCCTTTATTTCAATGGAGCTGTCTACAATTGTCTACAGGTCAGTTTGACCTCTTTTTGCCGGAGCTGGTGATACAAGAAAAATACTCAATGAGGTGTTGAGGACTCGGACAAGGCTCAACTGGGTCAGACTCGACCTGTTAGGAGTGGAACCCGAAGTGCTCATGCGAGGTATTCGAGGTACTTCCCATTTCTCCCTGCACTTGGCAATAGGTGAATGAGGCATGCTGTTTGTTTGGGAAAAAGGCTAGAGAATAGATGAGAAGAGGCTCTCAGTTTGCAGGCTTGGAGTCATCATGGCAGTTATACTTCAAGAACCCTAAAGTTTACGCTTCTTACTCTGTTCCAACATGACACTTGCGGTCTACAGCGGGTCGGATTAACACGTCCATTTTGCGTGGCAGGTACAGCACGGTCAGATTTCCACACCCGTTTAAAATTATAATATTTATAAGGCTTTCAGGTGTGGAAATCTGACCGCAACTGAGGTGTCGACATGTTGCATGTAGGATTCTAAGGGGAAAGGGTTTGTGATGTTTTAGAAGTCAAGAAGCGCAACTTTTGGCACCCCAGTGCGTTATTACTAGGTATTAGCCTTGTGTTTACAAGTAATCATGAGA